CCACAAAACGATCCTTTCTGCATCAGTGGTTTCAAGATACATCTCTAGGATGTGCTGGAATGCATCATCACTGATGTTCATGGGGTCATAGGAGTTTCGGGTCTTTCAACATCAGACCCCCTTACCCAGGTGACCCATCCAGTGTTGATCAAGTCCCATATTAACTCCCAGCAGCAGCAGTCCACAGGCTTGCCCTCTTTATCTGAAGCCTCCGAGTAGCTTTCCTCTGCGGCGTCAGTAATGGGGCAAATGGCCCTCCTTATTGCTCTGGCTACTCCTAGCCCTGCCAGGGCTTTACAGATTGGGCACCCAGCAAATCCCAGCCCTCTTCGGTTAGCTCGCAGAGAGCCTGCCAGCCTCAGCTTCTGCACTGCTCCACCAGCTCTTGGTATTTTACGAGCTTCCTCTCATGAGCCTCCTCCATGTGCTTCTCCCACCTGCTTGGAGGAATCTGAGAAGATGATGATCAAGATAAATAATTAAGAGCAATTTAAAAGTAGCTTTTAAGTGTTAGAGAAGTAATTTAAAGGACAACACCACCTAGGGATTTACATAGCCCTAGGACTCTAAGGACGCATTCACACTGGCACTATTTGGTCCACTTGAAACGAACCCTGGTCCGCTTCCACGGATAGTTCGGTTCATTTGGAGTGGTGTGAATGCTCATTTGAACTCTGGTGCGGACCAAACGAGCAAACCCTGCTCCGCTTGAAAAATGGGGGTCTCGGTTCACTTGCAAGTGAACCCTGGTGCAGTTCACTTACAGTAGATGCAAACGCAAAGGGACTATCAAGCAAACTAAAGAGAAGAAGTGACGTAGAGCGCAGTGCATTTTGGGTAGAAAAAAATCCCAAAGCCAACAGTGCGAACTGGGAGAAGGAGAGGTAAAAATAGAAAAAGTTGGAAAATGTCTCGTGGGCAGACGTGGAGAAGGGAGGAGGCGCAAGCACTTATTGATGTATGGTCAGAGGACTATTTATCCCAGTTGCTGGCTACCAGCTGAAGGGGATGGATTTCTGTTTTCAGTCCTGGCCAATCAATGAGCCGGGTTTTCTTCTTCCTCATGCTTTTTTTCTTCCTGGTCAGAGGTCATTTTGGGCAGTACCGCCCCCAAAGGAGCAGCTGTTGTAACTGCGTGACGTTGTCCAGGCTGTTTAGTCCGCTTTAAAAAGTGCAGTGTCAAAGTGAACTGAACCAAATGAAGGTGTGAATCGCCCAATCGAACCGAGTCCCCCAGACTATCCTGGTGTGAATGCGCCCTAAAAAGGCTTGCAGGTTCTTCTAAAATCAGGGTGAGCAGAGTTTAAAACAAGACAAGGGGTAAATGTTAACACATCACATGCTATTTGCATTAAAAAATGACCAAAACAAACCTAAACTAATTCTATATGTGTGTTTTCCCAACAGAAATCAGGAGCCAATTCCAAGTTGGTGATGTGTGGGCTGACCTCCATTGGACACGCCATCGCAGACACAGAAGACAGGGGTTTACTGAGCATCTGCGGCTTTGACCTCGGAGCCCTGAGCGTCATTCGTAACCTAGCCCAGGATCTGATCTGATAAAGTATCGGGGACCGACTCTGAATCATGTTGTTAGAGCACAAAAAGGAAGGCACAAAGTGTACCGACGCGGCTCAGTTACCATGTAGAGTGCCCTAAAACAGCACTAATCCAAAAGATGTTGACATTTACAATTCCAAGTTCTCTTTTTGTATTATGTCGCTTAAGAGTCACTTGACAAAGTGTCCAGCGGGCTGGACAACACTCTGGAAATGTTATGTGCATATATTTTTTTTCTGAAATTTGAGAAAAAAGGAAGTGATAAGACATGATATGTCGTTGCATATCATGCTGTCAGGAGTTTAAGTGCAAACAGCGCTCAATATGTGAAGTGCTTTGATGGCTCTTGGTGAGACACTAACCCATTGAACTATGAATTCCACTCATCTATAGCGAGACGTTGGCAGATTAGATAAGAGAGGAACAGCGTAAGAGTCAGAATGTTTGAGGCTTAGTGCAACTGTAGGTTTATTTTAAGAGGATTTACTGATTCTAGTATGTATCTATAGTATGATTTTTAGCAGGTTTGGTATGATGGTAGAGGCCTGTCCCTCCGTCTCATGTAGCATTATTATAAATGACTAACAGATATGCTGTAAAAGAGAGGAGTTGAAGCAAAGCACCAAATGTCAGGAAAGAACTGAAGTGTATTCTGTTGGCTTTTCAAATTTTTTGATTTATTTGGTCGGATGATATTTTATAGGAATATTAACGTCTAGAATTCCATTAACACAACTCTTGCCTTTAGCTTAGATACGATTTTTAGTTGTATTAACATTTGTTTTCCCCTAAGCCAATTTTATTTTAAAACTCTTCTGCTCTTGGTGAATTTATCCTATTAAAAAAAATCCTTGGTGCTCTTAAATGTGATGACACATTTTTGGGGGGGGGATTATGTGGGATTTTCCTTCTTGACAAAATAGCACCAATGTTCGGGGCTGCAAAGTCAGTATACTGTAAATTGGAAAATGGACTTCTTCTCATATTTGAGTCTGGATTCTATGCATCACGATTTTGATTTTACTGTCTTGTTACGTCCAGGAAGGACAAATGAAAGCTATTTAACAACTGTTTACCGAGACTGAATCTGCTAGCACTGTAATATTTCTGTATTTTTGATGTAAGAATGTCCGTTATGCAAAAACTAACAGATAATTGCTACCTTCCCGGAATAAAAAGGAACTGAATGTACTTTTGTAAAACATGTAACTGTAGAGATTTAAAGTACAATGCTTTATATTTCTTCAAACGGAATAAACACACGCTGCTGCTCACAGTTTTAGGGTAAGGGGCCAATTCAGTTTGGGGGTCAAGGCAAGCAAACGACTACAGTGGTGCTTCTTGTTTCAGTCAAGAGTAATTGTAATTACTGACGGCATTCACTAAACGTCACTCATCGATTCTGGTGTAATTCACTCTTTATGTCGAGGAATAAATTCCTGACCATGTTACTGTGAAGGATTTTGGTCCACACATGCCGATACTGTTGTTTTCAATGGTAAGACAATGTCCACTGTTTGGTCAAAATGCTGTAAAGCTAAAATATGATCGTTGTTGCGTTTGTAGTTGAGAGTCTGACACAAGAGATAGTTGTTATGAGGTATGGTAGTACACAAGTGTTTGACCACCATGATTAACTTCTTTTCCATCATATTGTCTGTTGCATCCATCGTGCTTAACATGTAAGTACTTGACTGTAGTGGCATTGTAAACCCCTAATAAACACTTTGCTGCTCTTTACATCTCGTCCTATGTTTGGCTATCTGTATTCAGAGGTGTGGACTCGAGTCACATGACTTCAATCACAAGTTTGATGACGACACTCGACAAAATCAAAAAAGACTTGTTACTCGACTTGGACTTTAACACCAATGACTTGTGACTTCTCTTGGACGAGGTTTTTGACTTGAAAATACTTGATACCGTCCCCCAAAGATCAAAAGTATGTTATTCAAAGAGTGTAAAACGTGCAGGTCGGAAATATCAGAGATGGAACAACTTTGAACAAATGTTTTTTTTACTATGTCAGTACAAAGCCTGCCTGTCTTTATTACATGGGGCTTTACATTGGACTTGTCAGTCTTGACATGGGACTTGGAACTTGCCTGTCTTAATGACATGGGACTTGACTTTGGACTTGTCAGTCTTGACGTAGGACTTGCCTGTCTTTATTACATGGGACTTTACATTGGACTCGTCAGTTTTGACTCTGGACTTGACTTGGGACTAGTCAGCCTTGACTTTGGACTTGACTCAGGACTTTCCTTTCTTAACATGGGACTTGACTTTGGACCTGTCAGTTTTGACTTTGGCCTTGTACATCTTGACTTGGGACTTGACTAAGGACTTTCCTGTCTTGACATGGGACTTGACTTGGGACCTGTCAGTCTTGACTTGGGACTTGACTCAGGAGTTTCTTGTCTTGACATGGGACTCGACTTGGGACCTGTCAGTTTTGACTTGGGACTTTGACTCAGGGCTTTGCTTTCTTGACAAGGGACTTGACTTGGGACTTGTTAGTCTTGACTTGGGACCTGACTAGTGACCTGTCAGTTTTCACTTGGGACCTGTCAGTTTTGACTTGGGACTTGACTCACAGCTTTGCTTTCTTGACAAGGGACTTGACTTGGGACTTGTTAGTCTTGACTTGGGACTTGACTAGCGACCTGTCAGTTTTCACTTGGGACCTGTCAGTTTTGACGTGGGACTTGTCAATTTTGACTTTGGCCTTGTAAAACTTGTCTTGGGACTTGACTCTGGCTTTGCTTTCTTGACATGTGACTTGACTTGGGACTTGTTAGTCTTGACTTGGGACCTGACTAGTGACCTGTCAGTTTTCACTTGGGACCTGTCAGTTTTGACGTGGGACTTGTCAATTTTGACTTTGGCCTTGTAAAACTTGTCTTGGGACTTGACTCTGGCTTTGCTTTCTTGACATGTGACTTGACTTGGGACTTGTCAGTCTTGACATGGGACTTGACTCAGGACTTTCCTGTCTTGACATGGTACTTGACTTGGGACCTGTCAGTTTTGACTTGAGACCTGTCAGTTTTGACTTCGGAATTGACTCAGGGCTTTGCTTTCTTGGCATGGGGCTTGAATTGGGACTTGTCAGTATTGACCTGGGACTTGCCTGTCTGTCTATATGACAAGTAAGTGACTTCTTTGAAACTACCATTACTTTTAGTGGGCATATCACTGACTACAGCGTCCATACTGTGGAAGTGTCCTTGAGCAAGGCACTGGGACTGCACCAGTATTGGTATCTGACAAACCATCAAATTAAAATAAAGAATTAACTGTCTCTACTCTGTTTATTTAATTCGACCTAACAAACATGGGGAAATGTGTAAAGTGCCATCTCTGACACTCGGCCTCAAACTTAGATTAAGATCAGGCATCCTGCGAGGCCACATGATGTTGATAACTGGGGGCCTTAACGTTACAAACACACTACATCAAGACAAGTGAAGATGGCGGATGTATTGAGTGTTCTTCGTCAGTATAACATCCAGAAAAAGGAAATCGTCGCCAAAGGAGATGAAGTTATATTTGGAGAGTTCTCCTGGCCGAAAAATGTCAAGACCAACTACATAATCTGGGGGTACGTCGCTGCTACAGTATCTTTAAACCGCTCCTGCGGGCCCGCTGCTGGAGCTCAGCGGTGCCTTGTGGTGCTAGTGACGGCGGAAGGCTCGCAGGCTAGCTGCTAAGATGCTAACCTAACTCCTCTCCTCGCTGTTGTACCCTTCCTTACAACTTTAAGCAGTCTTCTGTTACTTTGGCGTGATACTTGAGTGTTGTGTCATATACCACACGGCCTCTTTTCCACCCTCTACGCGTTTCAGTTTATATTTTTTAAACTTAAAGTGTGTTTATGAGAGATGTGTAGCCGCAGCTAAACTTGCAGCAGTGATGTGATGCTAACTAACTAGCGACGTTAGCTAGCATTAAGTTGTGTTCCCATGGAGTCAGGGGTCCAGTGGATCAAGCGGGGAAAGATGGTGTTTTCAGTAACAGTCATGACTACAAGCAGCTTTGTTATCCGTGTGGAAAGCAAACTTTGCTTATGTAAGGCAGAAATTAGGCTGCAGAAGGATTAGTACATTAGCTAACCGGATAACTGTTGATAGTTCCGTATTCATTTGGTGTCAGAACCAGTGTTTCGTTACTTTGAACAAGTAATTAAACTATATTTACTTCAAGTTATAGACTTAATGCACTTTTGACAAACTTGCATGTTAAGTCTGTAGCAGGCTGTGTATAGTTTACTCAAATGCTTGCATGGTTAAATAAGGTTTGAGTGATTTTTCTTTGCTGTGTTTGCACCTTCAGTACTGGTAAAGAGGGCCAGCCCAAAGAGTACTATACTTTGGACTCTATCTTGTTCCTGCTCAACAATGTGCATCTCCCACATCCATCCTATGTGCGACGAGCTGCAGTAAGTACTTTGAAATAACTATCAAACTACCTTAACCTGTCAGCACCAGTATTATTTTAAAACAATCCACTATTTTAGCCTCTTGTGTTGTCATAAGCAGCATATTAAAAAGAATCACAAATGCTCTTAAAAAGTGTTTTTGGGTGACATGTTTGTGTGTTGTTTATAGACAGAGAACATCCCTGTTGTCAGACGACCTGATCGAAAAGGCTTGCTGTCGTATCTCAACGGGGAGAGCTGTAAGTAACGTTTGGGAGATCTACTGGGATTGTGTGTTGTGTTTCTATTGTGTGCAGAATGTTAATTGTCCATTGCATTAAAGAGAGAGGTAGGTTTTTTTTTGGAGTGGGGCAGCATGGGGTACTTATCCATAGTTAGTTCATCACCTACAGTAGATGTCTGTCAGTCCACCCCCAGTTTGGAGAAGCAGGCAGGACGCCGACACAGAAGCTAAGCAATGTACTGCTGCAGGAAAATGTATTGAGGCCAACCTGAAAAACATTTGTGTCACTTCCAGCGTATGCTATATTGAGAGTATTTTCACTGCATTACCTTTCTGTCAGACAGCCCGTCTTTTGACTTCAGTTCTCCATCTGAGCTCTTGTCAAAGATACCAGACTCCATTGACAAACACAGTAATTTTGGTTTTCTGAACATGAAGCTGATTGTCTACCACTGCTTCAATCACTTATTTCATTTTGTGTCATTGTAAGACTTAAAACTGCTTTTGAGGCAGCGGTAGACGAGTACTTCCTGTTTTTGCTCCTGTACAATGTTAAATCACTGTTTTTCTCAATGAGTCTGGCTTTGAAAAGACTGATAGAAAGGCTCTAGTTCCTCGTCGGAAATAGAAATCTGGCTGTAAGATAAAGCAGTGAAAATCTTTTAAATGTAGCGTACACTTAGCCTGATATTGATATTTTTAGGTGGAACGTTTTCTAGGTGACAAAAATGTTTTGTTGCTGCCGTCCACAGCAGTACAGCACTTAACCTCTGTGTTGGCACTCCTGCCTGCTGCTCCATACTGGGAGCTTGCCGGCTGACACCTACTGTATGTAATAGTAGGGATAATAACCTCATACAACCTCACCTCAAAAGATCCGAACTATCCCTTTACTAAAACATTATACATTAATGTCAGCTTTCATTAATGGAGCCTTATGAGGGGGGAGCGTGGTTGTAGTTGCTCTGATTGGTAACTTATTAAAGCTGTTTCTGATTTTGTCTTTTCGCAGCAACATCGACGAGTATTGACAGAAGTGCACCCATAGAAATAGGTTTGCAAAGGCCAACGCAAGGTGAGTTCACACCATGTTTGTAGCATTAAGTTTGAAGAGCTGTATACAACTTAATACACTGAATCTTGCTGCTGTCTGTTACATACTATTGCTGCAACCGTGTCATATTTTCACAGATGTTTTTTATTAAAGGGGTATTATCTCAATAGGTAAAGTTAGTACAAAACCAAATGGACTTTGTGCAGTGACACAATACCACTGTTGTGCTTTTTTTAGTCAAAAGAGCAGCTGATGAGGTCTCTTCTGAAGCCAAAAAGCCAAGGATTGAGGTAAACTCCAACAGCTGCTTAGTTTAAACACTGTACTCACAGGTCAGTCAGTGCAGCTCTGGAGCATTTGCTCCCTTATCTGTATTACACAAGCAGGAACAGTTCCAGTACATAGAGAGTGTGTTACTGACAGTGATGTTTTGTTGCTCAATAGTAACAGGTGGGAAATAAATAGGTTCTGCTGTAGTGTACAAACACAGAATATGAGTGGGGAGCTTTTGTCCTGACATGTTTTTTCACCACAATAAAATATCATTGACTCAAACTTTTTATGACACTGTAAAAGAACAGAACTATTTTGTCTAGGATGGCTGTTAAAATTAAGTTAAAGACAGCTTAATAAACAGGGTTTAAAGAATTTATCATCACCCCCATGGAATTTGCTTATTAAAGCATTTGATTGCTCATTTAGTAAGTACATAATCAGCCAAAATTAAGCCGTCTGTTTCTATGTTAAGTAATGAATTACATGCTTTTTGTTGCAGTAACAAAACGTATTTGTCGTGGCTTACCTGGTAAATCATAGGCATCAGGTATGATGTCTTGTTTTATTCTGTAGTTTGCTAAAAGTGTGTACACTGCTTTCCTCTGAAGGATGAGGAGCGAGTGCGTCTGGACAAGGAGCGTCTGGCTGCCCGTCTGGAGGGCCACAAAGAGGGCATCGTGCAGACCGACCAAATCAGGTAGAACTGATTTGCCCCAGCTGCATTTAAACACAATGTGCTTTCTGATAAAGCAACAACATATGCCTTGCTTTACCACAATATGACACCCACAGACCAGTTCATCAGAGCTGTGAGCTGTTCAAATGATCCTAACTTCTCCCTCTCCTCCAGATCACTGTCTGAGGCCATGTCCGTGGAGAAGATTGCAGCCATCAAGGCCAAGATTATGGCCAAGAAACGTTCCACCATCAAAACAGATCTGGATGATGACATCACCCTGAAGCAGAGAAGCTTTGTGGACGCAGAGGGGGAGGTCACCAGAGATATTGTCAGCAGAGAGAGGGTCTGGAGGACTAGGACAACCATTCTCCAGAGCACTGGAAAGGTCAGAGTCCACTTTGAGCCAATGATATCCAATCACAGTGATATTGCTCAGGAAACAGTCTGCTTTCTGTCTTTACAGCAATCTAATTTATTTCCTAAAATGTCTGTCTGCTCGTCTAAATTAGTAAAATTCAGCTTTCGATCAGAACGTGGAAATTGGATTTTCCTGTTTTCTTATCTGCACTTTGGCTCAATGTTGGACCTTAATTGCTGTCCTGATTGGGTCATTGATTTGATGAGCAAACAAAGTCCACACATAATATATAAGTCAGGAAGGCATTGTTGCACTGACCTTTTGTGGGATGAAAGTGTCTGCTTCGTTGCTCTCCACCCAGAACAGTGTTGTAGCATTGCAGTGTAGTGTTGCATAACTTTTGGTTTTGGGTCTAAACTTGGTCCAGATACTTTATTTATGCCCAAGATTGTCATTCAGTCATTTGGGGGAAGGAAGACTTTACTGTAAGTCTCAAACAAGGCACATCTCTCATTTGAGAAGATTCATACTCATGTAGACTCACAGATTCTGTGATGTGGCCTAGTAGTGCCTTTTGCACTGCCTGTTCAAGGCGGGAAAGTTGCGCCATCATTCTGCCTGGTCGTTCTGTATAAAAGGCACAAACACCAAATGAGGGGACAGAGTTGTTTCGCCTTTAGACCGGCAGTGGAGGTGGTAACGGTGCCAAATTGATGTCTGTGTGAAAAGTTTGAGTCGGCAGGATGGGATTAACGTTTTGATGACGTCTTTATGTGTACAGCCCACTACCGGGAGATCTAAAAGCAGTTAGCAGCTAACTCAAAAAAGAACTATAACTGAAAATGTCCACATATTGGGAAAACAATAAGGTCCAGGAGCCCCTTACCCTCCGAGCAGTAAATGATTGTTATTGCTGTGTTATGCTATGCCATTGTTATTGTTTAGAAAGTACCGTCAGATGCTTATATTAATGTATATGTAACACAAGAGGCAAGGTCTGCTAGGTTATGGCAAAAATTGCATTGTGAAACAACACTTTTATGTTTTAAATTAATTTTTTTATCTCAGTTTCTTTGTTTTAATAACTGTTAAGAGCCAAAATCATAGTTGGAAATAAAATTAGATTAATCACCCACCCCTTCTGAAGGCTGATGCTGTTGTGCTACACGTAACTCCTGTCTCACCTCTTTTGCTTTTCACAACAGCATGCTATCTAACCCCACACACTGGGGTGGCACTATGCCGTTGTTATTTGGTTCTGTGTTATAAAAAAAAAAAAAAGTAGTGCTGGCTAGTGAAGAGTTTTTGTTGCAGCATTAATGCAGAATCCCTGTGTAAAAAGGGTTTATATGAATTCATGGGTAAATAAACACATTTCCGACCTCCATTTTGAGCTTAACTTCAGTCCACTTTACTGCACACACTTGAGTTTGAAAGCAGCTGTCCTATTTTACCAAACACCTTGAACTCTCAGGGATGATGGCCTTCGATGTAGGAAAAACTTTCAGACAGCCCAACTGTGTAAATACCCTGTGTGTAACAAAGTGAAAATCTCAACCACTAGATGGCAGCAACAGAATATTTTTCATCCAGTGTGTATGTACTCTTGAAATATGTGTCTTGGCTGAGCCTCTGAAGAACTTTGATGCAGTCATCTCAAAGCCATTATAGAGTTGAATGGCTGTAGGCTTAGAGTAATTATTGTGTCACCCTATAAATCACTTTCAGCGTATAATGTCTGCACCAAGAATGCTGAATTGAATAATTCATCTCTTCCTCTCTGTTGTTGCCATATTCATGTTCATTCTTCTAAGATGGGCATCTGTCGTAACCACTGTGCAAAGAGGAACTTCAAATCTGTTCTCATAACATTTTATGATTGTGTGGTGTCCCACTGTCATGGTGTTTGGTATGTGTGACATTATGCTGTCAACACACTGAAGAGCTCAGGCATATGATGCTCTGAAGGTCAACTGTGTTGCCAGAAGACACTGTAGTTGTAGACAGTCCTATACAATAAAGACTGAAATCTCTTGGTAAAGATTAATATTACTTTCAACTTCTTCATGATATCAGGCTAAACTGTGTATTCACAGTCTTCTTTAGTGATATTAAATAGACACCTTGAAAGAAGGGCTGACCCTGACTAAGAATTTTCCTGGTCGACTAATAGTCATTTAGGGCCATGAGTCGACTAGTCGCCCGCATGTTTACTATTTTAATTTAATTATTAAATTCTGAATTTTGGGCGGGGTAACACAATGGTTTGAGTTGAAGGTGTGAGAAAGAATAGTATCAGTAACATTGTTAACACTGTGCTACATTACAGAGAAACACAAAACCTTACTAATGAACCTTCATTAATATAGGCCTATATTTTATCTACAAGTGCACGTCACACACTGAGCGAGCCGCCTGTTAATGACGCTGTGGGCAAAGCAGTAATGATTGTGCTAAGTGGCTAATGGGCATGTAGCTACTTCCATGTTTCAGATGATACGTCATGTTTGTAGTCGACCAATGAAGATTGGATTCAGTTGGACTGTATCCATCTGTGGTTGCTCACTAACCCACTGTGGGATATTTATGCTGGCGTAGTGTCCAGTGATTGCATACTGATCGTTTAACAGGAAATAGTATGCAATTCAAGTACTGTTGAATAATACATGTAAACAGCATTAATGCTGATGGATGAATTAATTTGAGAGCCTGTAACTGTCTCTCGAGTGTATGAAAATGAAAAAATGAGGGGATGGCGGTGTGCACGCCTCTAGCAGTGGAGCAGTGGAGAGCAGCCTCTCTGCTGCACTGTCACCTCTGGGTAAAGACTGAGCAAAGTTATTTTCATCTCCACAGATTTTGTTTAAGTTGTTAAATGCTGCAGTGTGTTGGTCAGCCGGTCTTGTTTGTTAACGTTACTGCTGATCGCTGCTTTGCTCTGTTAATGTTTGTCTCTGGGTGAAACAAGCAACCAGGGCTATGGAAACAAGCCCAAAAGAAGCAACAGATATATATATATATAGAGAGAAAGTCGACGTTTAGAGCAACTCCACTTTAGAAACAAGCCCAAAAAAACGCAACCTGCGACTACCAATATTTGTAAGACGTTACAAAAAAAAAACAAGCCCAAAGTCGCGGCTAATAAGCGGACCTGGCAACCCTATGGCTTGTCCTCCTCACATTACCTCCGTCCTCCTGCGTGCTGACGTGGGATGTATCCCGCCTCTCATTGGCTGATGCTAGTTGTCAGTCGTGTCAGACTTCTCCAGTTTTCTAGCATGCCAGATATCCAGTCCCAGTCACAGACAAGGGGGCGACTTGCTCGTAGGCTTGTTCACACATGAGGACTCATCGTGGCAGACTATCTGCCGACTCACCTGCGACCCAAGGTGGCTCTCAAGATCCTCAAAATCGCGGTGAAAATAGTGTAATGTGAACTAGGCTTTAGCCTCACATCATTAACATACATTTGGATAATCGATTATCAGCATTTGTGAATTGCTGTCAAATTGTCCTCGTCCCTATTGCCATGCATCCAACAATCAATTATTTCCCCCACCTCTCCCCAAATGAGGAGAAAATCAATTCTTTTGTGCAGCGGTGCTGAACTCACCATATCCTCATCTATATTGCTCCTTTGCAGAACTTCTCCAAGAACATCTTCGCCATCCTTCAGTCAGTGAAAGCCAGAGAAGAAGGCCGAGCACCAGAGCAGAGACCAGCACAGAACACTACTCAAGTGGTAAGAACGACATATGTGCGTTTTATATATTTCAAGAAAGTTTAAATTTGGTCAGACACAAGTCAAAATAAATGCCGGTGTGCGTGCATGCGTGCGTGTGTGTGTGCAGCAAGTCTATAGATGACTACTAAGGGAGCGATCACACCGAGATGAAACGCGTCTTTTGAGCGTCAGATGCCAGTAGGTAGCACGCATTGAATAAGCGCTTCAAGCGTTTCAAGCGTCTTTGAAGCGTCCGCGTCTCTAGCGTCTCATTTCTGTGTGATCGCCCCCTAAGGTTTTGATTTAGCGGTGAACTGGCAGGTGTGTAAAGTAATGAATTGTTTGTTTTGTGTTGTTTCCAGGACCCGTCCCTAAGGAACAAGCAGCCTGTCCCAGCTGCCTACAACAGATACGATCAGGAGCGATTCAAAGGAAAAGAGGGTGAGTTTGATTTGTGCTCCTGTAGCTAATTTTAGTTCTGAACATTGACAAAAGGGGTGTGTTTGACGAGGTGTGTGGAGCAGTTAAGGAATACACAGAGTTGCCTGAGCATAAGTCTGTGCGAAATTTAGATTCAATTCACCCCATTTACACGTGGAAATAATGAACGTGCTTCAATGAGAGATGAGGTGTGACGCAAGCAGAGCACATTGCATCAATCAGACCGCCTCCAAAACCAGAAGTGTGATTGGATGTCAGGCAGGAAAAAGAATAGAGCCCATACAGCAGCATTGCTTCGCTGCACAAATAATTTACATATTGATCACAGTGCAGATAAAATCAAGGTAACAACAGCAGTCATTAATTTTAGGTGTAAAGTTAAAAGCCCAAGATCTGATGTCATTTACATAATTACCTAGATACAGATCACATGTCACCTGTAAGTGGGGGTCACACATGTCAGTCAAAGACAGGAAGTGTTAATGCAATAATGGAATAATGTGTTGACATGGAGCAGTGGAGTTCTTGGATTCAGGAAGAACCACTCCAGTGATTTTCAACTTTATGTGTTTGTAAAAGATAGACATGCTTCTCTATAGACCATCTCACCCATTATCAGCAGGTTGTATGCTTCAGGCAAAATCCGACACCTGCTGGTTCAAGCAAATAAGAGAAAACCACAGCTTTCTTGGTTCCATAGTACAGAGTTTTATATTAATGTTCAGGCTCATACTTGTACTTTGGGTTTCTACCACAACATATTTATGTGCTTTAGGCCCCGATCACACAGGAAGTGTTTTGCAGGTTGCAAAACATGAGGTGCACCGCACTGCCTTTTTTTTCCCCCTTTAAATTGAATGCTGCTACGTTTTTATTGTTGCCAGACAACCTCCCCAGTCCCTCATTAACATGATATATGAGAGAAAATAAGGAAAAGCATAATCGGTCCTCTTTAAGGCTGAAACGAGTACTTGTTGCTCCTGTTTGCTCTGTGCATCATCAGGTGTAGGATGCCTCAAGGGCGGTGAATGGAGCCTTTGTCTGATACACAGAGAGGCCAAACCAGAATGAATCTGGAGCATATAAATTACAGCTTTGTTTGCATGCATAATTAAAACCTATATCTTTATGAAAGGTAATCAGCTTATTGTGTGGGTTCCACCTGATCATAATTAAAAAACAGGTCTGACTAAGTGTTGAGTTGGAAAACCTTAATGCTCTAAGCTATTCTTTAAAAAAATAAAAATAAAGAGAGGTTTCAGAATCCAGACGTACAATCCTGGTATTAAACGTTTACCTTTCACGATAGCTGAATTTTTGTGCTGTCACGAGTTCATACGAGAATCATGAGATTACATGATAATCCTTTTTGTCAGGCTTCGAGTAAAGCGGGATTTATGCTTGTACGACAGCTATGTGCAGAGCGTACACCATAACCTACACAGGTGGCGTACGCTGTCGTGAGCATTTCTACTTGTGCGGTGGTGTGTCTGTCACTCTGCAGTTACACCTCCAAAACACTAGTCAGTGGTGGGGTTTCTGTGACGTGCCATTAAGTTACGTTGATTCAAAAACACACCAAAAACACATATTATATATGGCTTGGACACATTTTCCCCACAAATACAACATGCTAATGTATTTAGCACAAGCCTATGGCATTTTACATTGTATAGTTTAGCCTAGCAACTAGTGGACTTTTCCTTTACTCAGGTGAAGCCTGGGACAACAGCAACATTTAATAAAGGTGATGTTACAAAATTTGGCTCCATTACAACTCACGAGGTTCACTGACAAAACAACTGTCATATGCTAAACATGTTCTCCAAACAAATTTAACATGCTAACGTTATTAGCACAAGCCTATGGCGTTTTACATTGTATGATTTAGCCTAGCGACGTGCTGAGATTTTCTTTACTCAAATACAGCCATTTTGACTAGTAGTAATGTCATTGTGACTAGTATGAATTTTAATTTAAGATATCTATAACGTCATTTTGACTAGTCAAAACTGAATTACAGATATCTTTAATGTCATTCTGACTAGTCAAAACTACAGTTACAGATATCTGTAATTCAGTTTTGACTAATAAGATTCAAACTATTTTTGCCATTGCCATGTGTATGGGGTTTGTCATTATAGATATCTACAATTACATTATGACTATCTATAATTCCAGTTAGAGATATCTACAACGTCATTTTGACTAGTCATAATTCAGTTACAGATATCTACAACGTCATTTTGACTAGTCATAATTCGAATTCAAGATACCTACAACGTCATTTTGACTATCTGAAACGCAATTCAAGATATCTAGAAAGGACCATGTAGATATCTTCAATTGATGATAATTAAAGATATCTTGAATTTGAATTATGACTAGTTAAAATTAAATTTTAGATATCTCAAACTGGAATTACTGATATCTACAATTCAGTTGCAGATATCCGAAATAACAATTGTAGATATCCGCAACTACATTGGAGATATCTATAATGACAAACCCCATACACATGAATGGCAAAAATAGTTTGAATCTTACTAGTCAAAACTAAATTACAGATATCTGTAATTAGAGTTTAGACTAGGCAAAATCTAATTACAGATATCTTGAATAAGAGTTTTGACTAGGCAAAATTATATTGCAGATATCAGTAATGAATATCCAGTCTAGCGATTAAATGTTAAAATGGCTTGCCATAGGTGCATGTCAGGCTACGGCGAAGGATATGGCGTAGGCTCTACGTCGACGCATAGCCTACACCGTAGGTACAGCGTCAATTTGACGCAGAAGTATAAATCCTGCTTTTTGGGGGAAGTTTATCCTTATCAAATGTGAGGGTCCAAGCACAGAGGCATGTTGTAAGCTGTAAAGCCCTTTGGGGCAAATTGTGATTTGTGGTATTGAGCTTTATAAATAAAATTAAATGACAATATGCCCTGAGCGAGTGTAAGAATTGAAAGATGCAAACTTGTTACATATTTAAAATCATTATATTTTATACACTTGCTTTCTTAGAAACGGAGGGTTTCAAGATCGACACCATGGGCACCTACCACGGCATGACCCTGAAGTCAGTGACGGTAAGAACAAAACTCCAAAAGCCGTTTGCCGTTAGTGTTGTAAGCCAGAGCTTCTCTGCATGTGAGTTTCATTTTGCATACGTGGAGGAAATACCCATTTATATTTCTTGGTATCTGTTAGAGCAGCTGCCAATCAAAGCCTCAATGTGACCTCTTTTTTTTTTTTGCCTACATGAGAAGTTTTTAAAGTTGATCTAGTGTGGAGGCAGCAGTGAAACAGTCTGCAATGTAACTGCTTGGGGCAATTATGCACCTTCGATGTACTACATCTACTAAAAGTGTTTGTTTTTAGGCTCAGATTGTTGAAGTGAAGATTTCAAGTGAAGATTTCAAGTGTCTGAATGCATTATGGAAAGCGCTTAAAGATACAGATCTTTTTGTTAAAAGGGAACTAATGTTTTTTTCAACCTGGGCCCTATTTTCCGATCTACTTTTGTCTAAATGAGTGATAGGATGCTCAATATTTGACATTTCTCCAGTACGAAGCTAGGGCAGACCTGCCTGCAGCCCGTGAGTGCGCGCTATATTAAAAAATAGGGCACTGGGACACTGTCAAACAATGTCAAAATACGTCCACTTAAAGTGCATTTTTTTCCACACAGATAGGCTCGGATTGTTAGTATAATTATCCGACAACATAACGCAAAGGAGAAATGACCGTCTGTGTTTACCTTTAGCTGGATTCAGACATGTTCCTCTGCCTGTTGCTGCGCCTTCTCTCTCCTCAGAGAGAGAGGATTTCTGCGTCCGTGTACTCCGTGTTCAAATAAATACGGGCGATCATCAAATACAAATGGCTCATCCAGATCCAGTTGGTCAAAATCGGGTAAAAATTCAGAAAGTTTGTTGTGGCAAGTCAAAACACTCACTCAGAGAGTGAAAGTGTTTTGGCTTGCCACAACGAACATGTCCGATTCCAGCTAAAGGTAAACACAGACGTTCATTTCTCCTTTCCCTTATGTTGTTGGATAATTATACTAACAATCTGAGCCTATCTGTGTTTAAAAAAAATGCACTTTTAGTGGACGTATTTTGACTTTGTTTGACGCGGTTTGAGTGCCCTATTATTAAATAAAGAGCGCGCTCACGAGCTGTAGGCAGGTCAGCCCGAGCTTCGTATTGGAGAAATGTCACATATTGAACATCCTACCACTCATTTAGACAAAAGTGAGTGAGTGAAACCCCTTTAAAGAGTAGAATCCTTTTTGTTTAACCGGAAACAGCCCTGAAATGGCGATCATCAAACTCACCAGACTCCATTTCAGTAAACAGTAATTTTATCAACATTTTGGAAAGAATCCCTACAGAGATAGGCCTATTTATAAAGAGTATGATCCATTTTATTTAACCAGAAACAGCCTTGAGATTGCTATGGTCAAACCCACCAGACTCTGTTTAAATAAACTGTAATTCTAACGTGTATAGAGCCACCATATTTTCACATCTAACTGGGTGAATTAAGGGTTTATTTGAACCAAACCAGAATTGCTGATTGTTGGAACAGTTGAAAGATAAACCAAGATGTGGCTTCTGATTGTTTTATTTTATTTCTGTTGACTTTTAATTAAGTGTGTTCACACTGATAGAATAACTGTTTATTTAAATGGAGTCTGGTATGTTTGGCGAGAGCAATTATGTGGCTGTGGCAAAAACGTCTATCTCTGTAGGGATCCTTTCCATAATGTTTGCAGACACTTAGAATAACAATCTGAGCCTGTCAGTGGCAAAAACACTTTAAGCGGACTTAAATTGACAGCGTTCAATTGCCAATTCACATTACATTGCAGCCTGTTTCACAGCTGCTGGTTGCAGCGCTTGCTCAACAGTTTCGAAAATCGTTGTTCCCATTAGTCACTTAGACACCAATACAGAGGAAAATATGGTCAAGGTTAAATTTTACCCAAGTTACCCTCTAAATGAAGTCAGTACAAGTGACCACATTTTAAAAATGTCAGGAATAGAGTATTCAGTCTATGAAAAAAAAATATTGCTCATTCTTTTTGGTATCTTGAAGAGGATCAGCATAAACCACCGAATGGAAAGTTTTTTCTCTTATCATTTTTAAGATAAGCATCTCTAGAGGTGCGTCATCATTTACCATTGTAACTCTTTTTATCATGAGACAGTACATCACTCAAGTAACAAGGGGAACTTCGTGCTTTGACCTTAAATGCACTTTTATATGTAATTTCCAGAATTTATATGGCAATACATTCTGGTCATTTGACACACAAGAATTCCCAAGTCAATATGCAACAATCTGTAGTATCTGACTTCATGTTTTCATGTCTTTTGAAATGACTTGATTGACTTTTTGCTACACACGTGGAAACATTTATTGGCACTGTACCCTGTCCACTCTAGTTTTAGAGTGGCCCGTACTTGTAAGGCAGCATATATAAAACACAGACAGTAGATCTCACATCATTACAAAAAAGTAGCCTTTGCACCACAGAGAAACACAGCTCACTCTGTTGTAAAATATAACTGTACATAAAATCTCCAGTGGTTTGTCCCAAACATAGAAACATTTTAATCTCTTTAATACAAAATTGGCAATAGCTGTAGGGTTTTCACACAACATTAATGTAGAATTTGTATTTTAGTGAGTATGTGGATAAAGTTTGGATTAATCCCTTGATGTTAAGAATAGAACGGTCTGAGATTAAAACATTATTTGCATCTAACAAGGAGCTTGTGACAAGTGGAGTTCATTGATATCTGTCAGTTACTGTGCTGGTCTCTCTTTGTACACTCTGCCTGAGTGTGCCCTGCCTCCTCTCATTGGGTTGATGCAGGCGTTGTGTTTGTTGCTCTGCAGGTGATGCCAGTATTTAAGTAGCTCGTTGGGATGAAACCCATGCGATGTTATGAGATGGCTGTATTTGCAGCTGGAATAAGACACCCGCCAGTGGTTGAATAGGAACTCGTTGGGCGGAGGAGTGGGTTCGATTCGTAACTCGGCCAGGCATATTCCCACATACACATCCTCCAGATGCAGGCGGCTGACTCTCAGCGATACGCCATAGATCTTCCTCGCCAAGTCTCCAGAGAAGACATAACCAGTCCCAGAGCAGAAGGTGGGATACTTCTCACCTGGGTACAGCTCAGGGGGCATGTACCACTTGCTGTTTTTGTTTCGGTTGGGTGCAAAGCCTCTCATGTTATTGCCTGTAAAGTAGTTCTTCTTAGGCTGCAGTTCTGGTCTGAGCAACTTGTAAATGAGGTACTCCGTGTTGACGAACATGTCACTGTCAGTCTTCATGACGTAGCCGGCTTTTGGGCAGTGCATTGCCACCCAGTTCATTCCCATCAATGTCTTAATGGTCAGGTTTTTGTAGGAATCCAGAAAGTCCTGCTGAATGATATCGTGGTGCCTCCGGCTCTCTGCTTCTAGCATCCGTTGCTGTAGAAGTCCCAGCTCTCCCTCATTTTTCCCCAGCAGAAACAACCGGATGAATCCCAGAGCTGGAGCCACGCTCTCGTTCCCCCACGTCTGCCGTATGGCATTTCTTGCCTCCACCTGCCTAGCCTCAGTGGCTATAAGCAACACCAGAAAAGGCGCAGGTCCGCTGTCTACACATTTGTCTGGCTCGTTGATGATATAAGTGAAAGGCCCATGGGTTACATTGTCACGAAGGTCTCCCTCTACACTTTGGCTAGTGTTGGCTGCTGGTGTGCTTTCAAAAGTTGGGTCTCCTTGAAGTGAGGAGACACCCACCTTCTCAGGGGAGCTGTTGTTAGTATCAGTTTTGAAAGTCGACTGAGGGACAATGACAAACCTCCACGCTGAATGTGGGGCGCTCATGTTCCATTTGGCTTTGGTGGTATGCAGTTCACCCCCTCCGTACACCACAGGATGGCCTCTCCACCGTGGCATACCTGTGAGCTTAGGCAGCCACACCTGTTGGACCAGAAAGACCAACAGACCCAACAGTGTGAGGAGATAGAGAAATTTAGCTGTGTGTGTACAGCAGTGGCGTCGTCTCCACTGCATGGTTTCAGCAGGAGGAATTCACTCAGACAGGTGTCACGCTCCCAAGGCTTACTGTCAGCAGCTTCTGACCAGTCCTTGATCCCTTGAGAAAATGTGAAGTGTGTGTGTGATGGGTTCCTTAAGGGCCTTGGACCCAATGTTGATCTCTCATCACAGACAGTGGTGTTGTCCAACAAGCCAGTTGTAAGATGTGAGTCCGCTCTAATGCTGTACGGCTGGTGATTGCCTATCAGACAGAGGAAAAAGGGGACATGTGTGAGCAAATCGATAGTTTCATCTTATTGATCAATCATCGATTAATTGATAAGCGGCGATTTTCCTGAGAAGCTGAATTTCCCTCTGAATCAATAGGTTCTATCTATACATAACATAAAAAGCTATATCTTCCTTATGAAATACAGAAAAAATGCAAATCATGTTCCTTAAGCAAAGATTTATTTTGGGATATATTTGGGATACACTTGAGGGCAGGTAATAGCATTTTGGTAGCATATCAAAGATATTCTGAACAGTAAATATCAAAATATAACGCAGGCTACTTAACATGAAAATAAATTGGGCATTCTCTCATCTGTGACATGGGAAACATTAATAGCAGCATAAAATACATTCCTGAATAGAAGAATACAATATGTAGGCTACTTTAACATGAAAATAAATGAGTGCACTGTCTCTTAGCAGCAAAAAATTAAATTCTGAATAGAAAATTAAATAATACATTCCTGAATAGAAGAATGCAATAATATGTAGGCTACTTTAATGTAACTGTGATGTAGCTTTCTGTATTTAAGGAAGTCCAACAGTTGGTTGTGAGGGCCACATTCGCGGTTGCAAGTTGTGTTTTCAACTCCGCCTTCTTCCTCACGTAACTTGCTTCCATGTGGGTAGTTATGATCGTTCTAGAGGGGATATTATACCCTGGCTCGATGTAGTTTATCACCTCTTGAAATCCCTGTCCATCAACGATGTTTATTGGCAGCATGTCTGTTGTAACCATGTTACATATTTGCTGAGTGATGCCCTCCGCTTTCCCAGCGTCACATACCGTCCGTCCCAACGCTGTGGTGATTGTAGGCTGTGACGTCGATCCACTCGCTCCATGTAGCACGACTGAATGTGTCGTATTCAGGTGGTAATTCAACTAAGTTGTGGAGTTGTTGTACTTTAAAATACTACCATTTATTGTGCATTTGGCGTCTTTGTCGTCATTAACCAACTTAAAATGGCTCCACACTGCACTCCGTCTTGTCCGCTTCATCATGCCGCTTCGTGTTTATGTTGTTCTCGTCAGAGCCCTGCTTCTCATGTGTGCATCAAGTACGTCTGGCGTCAAGAGCGCCCTCACGCGGAGTGGCGGGGAATTACGGGTTTAAAAACGCAATTAATTGCAATTAATTTATGAATTTATTTCTTATCGACAATTAATCGATAATCGATTAATTGTTTGCATCCCTACACTCAATATTTTTATATTGGCAAAAGATGAATTAATAACACGTGAAAGGTCAATGACCCAAATCTGCACTTCCCCTTAACTCAACGGGGTGTTACATCACTTTGGTTTTACAGCGGTTCACTGTCACCGCTCTCATTGGGCAGATGTTTTCAGTAACAACAGCCCCAGTAACAAACAGCACACTCACAGCCCGGCAGTAAATGGCAGACGTGCGATGTCAGCGATCAGCTGGTGAACATGGTGGAGCATCAGCAGCAGCTGATGATTGCTGACCATCAGCCATTTCTGTCATTGACTCTGTGAGCCACTCTCGCCCTCCTCTCCCTGCCTGGTTAGCATGAGCTAACACAGCACAATGTGATCTCATCCCTTCTCTTCATAGGTTGCTGCTTGGGCAGAAGCCTCGCTGCAGCAGTTAACATTTGCATCATAATCTCACACCCACATAGGAACAGTTGGCCTTTGTTTTTAAGGTGTTTTTAGAGGTGTGATGCTAGCCCTGTCACAGTGCATGTGAGAGTTCCGGTCCAGCAGTAGAATCCGCGGGTACTCGCTGAATTTACATTCATCGCTGTGATAGCTACATTGCGACATCCCAAAGGGACTGTAAAATACTAGCTGTAACAAATTGTGAAGAATCAACCGGCTTTTCTATGTCAGTGTCGATATCAGCATGTTACAAACTCCCAAGCAAAAACCTCTCAGACAGTGCGAAAATTTTTATCACTCAGTGGGGAAGCACAGCAGGCCAATGCAGAACAAAATAAACTCCATATACTGTTCACTATAGAAGTTTCCCTTCACAGCCTCATGATTACTGATTGTACACTGAACTTTATTTCTGGCTACATAATCCTTGTGTATTCTGTTGAAGGGATATCTTACATGGCTCTCAGGACAAGAATAAACAGAATATGTTTTGCTTTCTCAGCTCAACTTTCTTTTGCTCTTGAACAGCATCCACATGAGAAATGGTTTTAGAGAGAACAGTCTGTTTGCGTGCTGCTAGCACCCTCAATTGCAGTGTGGTCTCTCAGTTTTTTACTGAATTACAGACTACCCTCTTAAAGGACCCCAACAAGACAAAGAGAGGTTTGTGAGAGCTCACAGGAGCACTGAAAAGACTTCTGTTAGCTCTCTTGCATGCATCAACAGAAATAGAAGTGATCATTTCCTCCTAAAAAAAGGCACACCCTTCACATCCTGTACTGTGCATAAAAACTGGGCTCGTATTTTGCAGCATGAATTTTTGTTTTCAGCATTGTGTTGATGTGCGTTTGCATCTTAACTGCATAAACTCACCCATTTTAATCCATCCATCATTGCTGACTGTGATGAATTACAATCCTCACTCACAAATTGCCCTCTTGGTCACTGCTCCTTTCGTCCCTGTAGCCAAATCACATACAGCTCCAGCTTGACGACTCAGGTCCTCATTTATTTCCCTCTCAACGTATGACAAATCATCCTCTTCTTTTAACCCAGCCCACATGTGGCTGTTACGCAGAAGAACGGAGAAATTTGGTCCTCTTCCTGCCACTCGAAGCTAACTACCACATGCATGCACAAGTGTATCTGCGTGTGCATGCATGGACAGAACATGTGTCAGAGCTCCAGTGTTGCAGTCTCTCCATCTGCCTTGGCGCATTGTCCCCAGAGGCTTGATGCTAACGGTGCTGCTGCTGCTGCCTTTTGCCAAAGGGAGTATAGAGTCAGTGGTTGACAGTTAGCTGCAGCTGTGGGTCCTTTCGCTGTCCTCGCCTGTCGTATTCTGTATATCAAAGCAGCAGCGGATAGATCGAGATCATCTCTGGATGATGCACAAGCCTCGCATCTCTCCGTTTGTTCAGCCTCTATTTCCTCGCGGATCCTTGTTTCCTCTCGCTCTTCCTCTTTAATTCACATGCTCTCATGTTAACCTCCCTCCCCCCTACCATGTGCCTCGCTTTCCTTTTTTTTCCACTTTCCTTTTCTCACCTTCCTCATTCAGCAGCTCCTGTGGGCTGTCGTTGTGTTGTCTGCGAGAGGGCTGGAGGGTTGAGAGCAGCGGGGGAGGAGGAAGTGTGTTTTTTGTTCTGATAGGCAGCTCCAGGCTTGGTGGCAGCACGTTCTCTCACCACATCATGCCGTCTCTGCTGCTGTTGCTGCCTGCCCTGTTAATGGGGAGGGGGGTGGTGGAGGGGGGGTTGGGCTGCTGACCTATTTGTATTCACACCCACTCTCCAGAAAGAGGAATAAAGCATTATCGCAATTTGCTATGAAGTAAGAGGAGAAGGGGGAGAAGCAAGCCTTCATGTCAGCACTTAAACAAATTTTGAAAGGTTTGCTTAGACATCAGGATTGAGTTTACTCGTGCAGTGATGGACAGAGCAACTCAGAAGCCTGTTCAGTCACAGTCTTTAATGTGTCTCCTGCCAGTCTCTTGTATTGGAGGATAATTAGAACACAGATAATTACACCAATGTTTCCGCTACGCTCATTCAGCCGTGGTGGTCTGCAATGCCTGAATTTTCATATTTAGACATTGTCATTTTAATTCTGCCACACTGTGACTCGGAGCAATATTTTTTTCATGAGGAGGGTGGGGGAAGAGGGGAGGGTTGTTTTTTTTTGTGTGTGTGCTCATTGGCCTTCATGGTCCCTTCAGATGTCCACCATCTATTAGGCTTAAGTTTAATCTCTTTATTAGCTGACAGTTAAGGGAAAAGGTAAAATAGTATCTTCTATTCACAGGAAAATTAGAAAGTAGCTTCCTCAGCAGACATATTTATATTTCCTGGGAGCTATATTCTTAACATGGTCAATAAATAGAAACAGTATGGCCCTGGGTCATTTGGCAAAATAAGTTGAAAGTGGCTCAACTCGAGTGCAGCGATATCAAGCAAGGCGCTGTGTTGGCAAAAAGAGCTGCAAAGACGAATCGATTATCGGTTAGTTGTCAACTGTAAAATTAATTTCTATTCTGTCATTTTGATAATCATTTTGAGAAATTTTGTAGAAAAAGTTAAAATTATCTGATTCCAGCCTCTTAAATTTGAATATATTCTGTGTTTTTTGTTTTTGTTTTTTTTTACTCCTCTGTGACAGTAAACTGAATATCTTTAGCCCCTTTTACACTGCCAGATTTTCGGCAAGCTGTGAGCATTTATACACACACACAGCCGGATTGGCGAGTTGATCCGAGGTGCCCAAGTTTCCTATTTAAAAAGGGCTTTTGAGTTGCGGTGTCTTTCACCGTTAAAAACCCGAAGCGATAAAAAAATCCACAGATTAATCAGCATTGAAAATAATCGTTAGTTGCAGCCCTATTAGCCATTAGGATATGTTCAAGAGTCCATTCCTGATAGATTGCTTCATGAAGTCGACAATGTATTGCTACCGTTTTACGCACCGATCTTGTCAGAAGATAAAGTGTCCCTAATTGTTTGACTGTAAAAGTAACTGTCTTGTACATACTATTTTTTGTCTGATGGCTGCCATTCGCCTGGAAAGTCCCTCATTAGGGCTGTTGGAATAAGCACAACCACAACCACAAGCAACCACCAAAACTGCTGTGTTCTTCTTAATAGAAGCGCAGTTTATTTACATTCTGCTACTATTGCTAGCAGTGTGATGAGGCGCTGAGTGTCTAGTCTGTGCTGAGTGGGGGGCACTAAGAGTTCAAACTGGTAGAAAAGATTTCCACACACTTACACCTATGCAGGCTTTCAATTAAAGCAACTCTGACATTTCTTGCATTTCACACAGCACTTAGAAACAATTTGAACACCCACAACTCCACCTCCCTCCAAAGGCCTACTCCCCCCTCCTCCATTACGTCTATGATAGACGTAGGCGTTGGCAAGGTACTGTTAGTTACATGGAAGAAGAGAGCGAGTGTAACGTTACAACCAAGACAGTCAAATGTAACCCCAGATTTTTAAAACTCAACAGGAGTCAGTGATGACTGATGAGTTTTAGAATAAGGTTACAGTGCTAACATAAGATAGTAGTGTTAACGTTGCTAGTAAGTGGAAACGCATAAGGAAGTTAATGTTTCAGAGGCTACGCTACAGTACGCTAACGTTAGCTATTAGCAACTGGATGTTGTGTTGTCATATAACGTTATATGTTATATTAGAAGCAAACTAAACATAACGTTACCTGTCCTGCACAGTCAAACGCAACCCCGGTGTTTTGAAACTTATCCGGGGTCAGTGATGACTGATGAGTTTTATAATATAACGTAAATGCTAACGTTAGATAGTACTGGTGACTGGCAACAAACAAGGAAGATAATACTGAGGCTTGGTCCGAATGCAGTGATTGGTCGGAGTTTTCTTAGAATCATATGAGAATGGTATAATTATGAGTTTTTATTTCTGGTGGAATCCCCTTACATTTTAGTGTGCCATCAGCTTATTAATCTTACTATATAATGCCGAAAACTCTGTCTGTGTGTGTCTGTGTCTCTGTTCCACGTTTTTCTCCTCACTGACTTGGTCAGTCCATGTGAAATTTGGCACAGTGGTAGAGGGTCATGGGAGGATGCAAACGAAGCAATATTACATCAATTGGCCAAAGGGAGGCGTTATAGCAACCGATTGAAATTGCAAACTTTGAATGGGCATATCTCATGCCCCGTATGTTGTAGAGACATGAAACTTTGCACAGAGATGCCTCTCCTCACGAGGAACAAATTTGCCTCAAGAACCCATAACTTCCGGTTATATAGATTTTCCGCCATTTTGAATTTTTTGAAAAACACTTAAAATCGATCTCTTCCTAGGAAGTTTGACCGATCTGCATGAAACTCAGTGAACATAATCTAGGGACCAATATCTAAAGTTCCTTCTTGGCAAAAGTTGGAAAACTTACTAAAACTGAGCTTCTATAAGGCAATGAATATTGCGGAGGGCGTGGCTCATCACATTAAGGTATATAACATCTCAAGGGTTTCACCGATCACCACGCAAGTTTGCAGGCATATGACCACACATAATCTGAGGGGACCCCTCCATTATTGACCCCATTAAACAGAATGGGGGCACTAGAGAGCTAATTTCTTATCTAGGCCTAACCGCCATATCGATTTTTACTAAACTTGGTAGACATGTAGAAGAGGACGCCTCAAGGTGACTGGAGAAATTTAACTGTAATTGGCAACTGGGTGGCGCTATAACAACAGAAAAATGCTTAAAAATGGCTAAAATACGACCGATCGCTGTGGCTCCCCCTGTGGCTGAATGTTGTTGTTTTTTTCTAATTTTTGGTATGACTAAGTCATGGTATGGTATGCTGTACATAATCACAGAAACTGTCAGTGTGTCATTCTGTCAGTCAGTCATTCTGTCTGTCCCACGTTTTTCTACTCACTGACGTGGTCAATCTATGTGAAACTGCACATAGGCATTGAGGACTGGTATAGGTAGAAGGTGACAAAGCTACTAATGGGTATGGACTAGTAGCATTTAAACATAAACAAAGAAAAGCGTAGAATTTCCAGAAAGGTAAGTGTTGCTTTAATTCTGGAGCTTTCAGTCTATTATATCCCCTCAGAACATACAATTTGGACTTACTGATGTTTCCAGCACCTTGCCAAGACTAAGGTGGGTGGAGCTGTGGTTGTCCAACATCATGGTCGCTGAAAGTTGGAAAATATTCAACTTTGGGTAAAATGCTGACACTCCTCACTGTCACTAACCCACTCAGATCGGTGGGTCCGCCCTCTCTCCCCACTAGGCATGGGTATCATTCTAAAATTTCGATACCTTGACTTTGACACGGGTTCCTGAACTATACTTTTTTGATACCAATTTTATGAAGCATCATTAAATTACATTTTTACTGAGCAAAAATCAAACTGTCAGATTACCACAACTGCCTTGTATCCTGAGCCACTGCAGCTCCAACAGTATATAAGAGCACAAAGGAGCAAAATGTGACCAATACAGTGAAAAATGAACGGTTGCAAGTCAGTACATAAGGCTTACTGCTGCATATTTAAAGTAGGATTTATACTGATGCGTCATATCCACTCTGTATGAGTATAAATCCACCGAAAGATCTTTACATTGTTCAGAAATTCTTAAAAATCAATCAACATGTCTGCTTTTTCAGGCAACCGCCAAGCCCGCTCCTGGCTGATATTGTCCCCGTCAGTAGAACATGTTTGCTGTGCCAAGTCAGAAACTACTGGCAGAATGTCCGTCATGTCCCATTACCAGGTTACTGGACTCACTGAGGTCAGCGTAGGAGGAGAGCCTCTGTAGTGCTTTATCTCTGCCTGACCCTTCTCTGTACTGCTGCTGACAGCGGTCTCTGTTCTTCAGTCGCCTTGTCCTCCTCAGCAAATAGCTTTGGCCTCCTTTGTGAACAAGAAAGTGAGCGTAGACAACGAAGACACACACAGCCTCTCAAAATACAACACGTACTTGTGATAACCCCCGTGTCTAGGCGCAACCCGTGACATAACCTAGTGTTTTTCCTGGATTTCTCAGTACAGCCAATCACCAGCACTTTTGAATATTAGCAAATCATACGTGCTGCATGATCACTGGCTCACTGACGTTGATGAGATTAACCCCTTAGGTATCGAAATTTGGTACGGAACGACAACACTCGATGGTATTGAGGCAATCCGGTCAGTGCCTAAAAAGTATCCTACTTCGATACCCAGCCCTACTCACTACAGCCTTACCTTCATCCAGAGCCTGATGGGCGGTTCTTTACACATTTCAGTTCTTTAAATACTCTATTGTAAAGCAAAGCATATCTTGGTGCGACGTTTACCATCACTGGAAAGGACATAAATGCACCAAAGCTGCTGCAGAGCTGCTGACAAGCACTTTATCTGTAACTGACAGTGATCGTGCAGTGCTGCTGATAGACTCTGCCCTGCAGCTTGGGGGATGGGAGGAGAGTAGATAGATTTGATACAGCAGACCTTGGGGCCCACTAACAGCTATTTATCTTTGTATTTCATTTATCTTATTGGTGCAGAGCTTTTGCTTTCTCAGTGCTCTGTTTTGACATTAGAGCTGCTTTGACTGGCAGGGATGAACTGTCCTGCCATCAGTTGACAGGATGGGGACGACGCCTTTTAGCTCCTTCATAGGTTTTTTTTCTTTGCTATAACACAGCTTGAATAATGTCTTTCAAGGGAGCTCATGAGCACAATAACAGAGCATGTGTAACAGTTAAAAGTTTTGCTTTTTAGATTTTTCAGCAACATCATGACCCAACTCAAATATTTTTTCACTTTTAACACTTTATGTCGCCTTTATACCAAAAACATGTATCTGATCCACCAACCAGCACTTAGTTTAGTGAGAAATCGTAATTTTTTTAAACAGTTCACCTCTCATACCCACGGTTCCCTCCACTAAAGTGGCACAGCTAACCAACAGAAGCTTGAAGCAAGTTGAAGCAACAAAATAAATAAATGAATGGTTTGTACGCAAATGCCATTTATGGATAATTTTGTTGCTGGATGAACAAGAATACTGTCATCAACATAAGATGTCTCTACATGTAAGAAAGGACATGTAAGGGATCATTAATGTCACATTGCTTTAAGAGAGTTTGGCGTAATATTTTCTACCAGAAAATGATCTCAAAAGGAATCTAGTTGTAGTCTAGCAAATAGTGACCCTGCAAGATCCCCAGTCTTTGCAAAATATTATAGTGTGTCACTGAAAATTCAGTCTTTATGCATGATTTATACTTCTGCAAAGTAGCCTGATGTGCACCTTCCTCAGAAATGTACCATTTCCCTCAGTGGAAACTAAGCTGTTATTTACTTTCATTTCACAGATAAGAAACAATAAATAGTGAAGACAATAAAGCCTCCACAAAAATAGCATTTTAAGTCTTTCAAAGTCTTTACGAAGTCTTCTAGTGTATGGTATGCATTAGAAGAGCTTCAAACATCTTTGTAAGTAACTTTTTGTCGTATCTCTCAGTCATATGAAGCATTAACAGTATTTTCCCTTTACCCCTATAGAATAGTGAAACAGGAACATAATCTCCTCTTTGAACAAAGGAATGAATAAATGAATTATTTGACAATAATAAGAAAGCCTGGCCTGCACGTTCGTCAAGAAAAAATGTAGCATTTTAAGTCTTGTGCGTGTGATTTATCCTGGCTTCATATGAACAGAGGAAATCTCGCTTGTTGCTAGGCTTATTTATACAATGTCAAATGCCATAGACTTGTGCTAATAATGTTAGCACATTATATTTGTTTGGAAAACGTGTTTAGTATAAGACAGTGGTTTTGTCAGTGAACCTTTATGAGTTGTAATGGAGCTGAATTTTGTAATGTTACCTTTGTTAAATGTTGCTGTTGTCCCTGGCCTCATGAGTAGAGGAATAGTCCACTAGCCGCTAGGCAAATTTATACAATGTAAAATGCCATAGGCTTGTGCTAAATACATTAGCATGTGTATGTATGGGGAAAATGTGTCCAGCAAAACACAAGTGTTTGTCTATGAAAGCTGCGAGTTATAGTGAAGCTGATTTGTGTGCTTGTTTTTGAAATTGTCTCTATTAATCCATGTTTAATGTGTGTTTTAATCAACTTAACTTTATGGCGCTTCACAGAAACCTCACCACTGTCCAGTGTTTTGAAGGTGTAACTGCAGAGTGACAGACACACCACTGCACAAGTATAAATGCTCACAACGGCGTAGGCTACATGAGTAGGCTGCGGCGTAGACTCTGCATACAGCTGTCGCACAAGTATAAATGCGCTTTGTAGAACTTTAGTCTTTCAAAGTCTTTACGAAGTCTTCTAGTGTATGGTATGCATTAGAAGAGCTTCAAACATCTTTGTAAGTAACTTTTTGTCGTATCTCTCAGTCATATGAAGCATTAACAGTATTTTCCCTTTACCCCTATAGAATAGTGAAACAGGAACATAATCTCCTCTTTGAACAAAGGAATGAATAAATGAATTATTTGACAATAATAAGAAAGCCTGGCCTGCACGTTCGTCAAGAAAAAAATGTAGAACAAAATACTTACTGAATTTTGCATAAATACACAAAAAGTGAGGAGAAGAATATGAAAATACTGAAATATTGATTGATTACATAAGGACAAGAAAAAAGATATTGGCCCTAATTTTCAGTGGTTGATGTCTGACATGTGAGACACTTGGAATTCAAGCACATGCACGTCAAACTGCAGATTCACTCAAGATCATGTGTGATGTGAGAAAGTGACAGCTGGCAGCTGCTTTACTGATGGTGTCAGCGTGTTGTCTTTTAAAAATTATTCAGCAGGTTGAATGGACAGTTTCTCACACACACTTAGTAGCGTTTGATTCACTCACCCCACACACTGTTTGCACCAAAGTACCAAAAAATACATTTGAAAACTCAACATCAGTGTCTCTTTCCAGAAATCATGACCTTGTTACTCAAGATAATCCACAGACCTTGTTGTGAGAAGTTTCATGTAGGAACTATTTTCTTTCTGCTACATTACACCCGCCATCTGTATCACCGTGCAGAGGGAAGCGTCCACCTACTGCTAGCTCACCTAGCACCACTGAGCTAACCAACATTACAACTCAGCCAAGGACTACGCCATTAATGTTTATTATCTGGCACTTTGTGTTATTGTAAATTGAGTATCTTTAGGTTTTAGACTGTTGATCAGACAACACAAGCAATTTATTGGCTTCACGCCGCTCTGTGAGGTTTTCACAAACTCCACAAGGTCAGTATGTTTCTGTAGCTCCTCCGTCAGCGTTAGCTCCAGCCTGCAAACATGTCACACGATGATGGATTACTGCTAGACTGTGACACCTAGTGTGGCCCCGGCCTCTCCACCTACCACACACACACACACACACACACACACACACACACACAGATACATGCACGCGTGTACACACACTTGCTTCCCTACAGGGAATCAACGGTGACCTGGCGGGAGTTGACAGTGAGCAGTGCTCAACAAAAAAACTGTTTGGGTCACCATTTTTAAACAGAACTTTTCCCACATTTTTTCTTAATCTACATTTTCCTCTCAGACTGTTTTTATGACTTAAACTCTCAAATATGTCTCTAAGTCAGTGAGTGTGTCTGAGCAGTCTGAATCAATCATCACCATTCAGTGGGTCAGGCCTTTACATGCACACCAACACAACTAGCAACATTTTTGTTTCTGCAGTGTTTACTTGGTCAAAGGGATAGTATGTTTTTGATTATGACCTTTGGGTGCTGTCGTGTTTTCCAGGAAGGAGCATCTGCTCGGAAGGCCCAGACCCCAGCGCTGCAGCCTGTCCCTCGTCCAGGTTGGTGGTGTACTTTCATGCATATGTCTACTTACAGTGTTGTTTTTTTTTGTTTGTTTTTTTAAAGGCTACACACTGCTCATTTGTTTTCATAACTGCCCCTGAAGTCCACATGTTGGTCTGTATCAGAGGGAGAAAGTGAGAATAATTTTTGGGAACTTTTTTAATTATAGAACAGAAAATTGGTTGAATTCTTTGTCAGAAAAAAAAAGGATGCATGGTGAGAGACTTTAGCGCCCCACCTTGGGCTGTACCCAACACAGAATTATGTCAGTCGAATCAGATTTGGCTGGTTAATCCAAATATTCAACTTTTTTTTTTTTTTTTTCCACATTTTTTTTTTTTTTACGTATAAAGTTTTTAAGTTGATTGGGCTCAGCAGGACGTTCAGTGTTAAAGCGGCATTCATGTAATCTGGTAAATAAGCCAACGGCTGATGGGAAATGTGTAACAACATATATGCCGACACTAGGTATCAAACACAAGTCAAAGACTGTATCATATTAAGTAACCATGAGCTGTAAAACAAGCAGTAGAGAGGACATAATACTGTCTTGGGGCCCTATATTGGAAAGTTTCTCCTCCTCTGCTGCTCCATCACATCCATCCTCAGCAGCCTGGACCAAAGAGTAGCGTGAAAGTAAGGAGCGCTCACTCTGCAGCAAAATCTGGGGACCAAAATGTCCCTAGAAGTACACTGCACAGCACACTGACTTGTTTATAATATAATATTAGTGGCACTGGACGAGAGACTGCAGACAGAGCAGATTGAACGATTACATGTTGCTAAACAGCTGTATTGAGTAAGTATTGGCTTTTTCCTTGTAGAGGATTTATTGCACTTACAGGAACAAGCATGTCTGTGGTCAACTCGTATCTCTATCTTCACCGCTCTGTCTCATCTGCGGCATCAGCAGCCTTGACGCACAGACAGCAGGAGGAGAGGCTGCTGACACCAAAACATAGAAAGAGCCAGTGACGTTGGAGCTTCTCAGCTTCTCAATACTACAGTCGTTAAAAACATATATTTTTAAAGATCGATCTCTGGTTTTATGAATCAATTACAGGTCATTCAAATGCAGATCGATTTGAATCGGATGACTCAATTATTTTAACACAGTCCCAGAAGCAATCTCAGTCGACTGAGGAGTATCCGACTGAGAGATTCGAATCTGCGACTTTCAAGGAGCAGCCCTACCCAAAAATAAAATCTGTTTGCTTGATTGATACATCCCATTTTTTAGGACATAATTTGCATGACATTTGAGCAAGAATAATAACACACCAGAACCAGAGATGAGACTTTGTTACCAAGCAAAAGCTGAGAGGGCCGGTCAGTGTGCAGAGTCCTTCCTCAGTCTGCCCTTCAGGTAGAGGCAACTGTTAAACTCACTACGGGATGGCCTGAGCCAGCTGGCCACCTGGAGTCAGGAGACATTTCAGGTCATGATGCCAAGAGTTTTATGCACGCCTACCACAGTTCACAGGACTGTCACGACCCCTGGCAGCTGATGTTGCCAACTTTCACCCATTATTTTTTGAGTAAAAGTCATCTTTTTGTAATAACACAGCTTTGATGATGTTGACATTTTACTCATAATGCAGAATCAAAGTAATTTGATTATAGTCCAGCTCTATTGCTAAGTTTAAATATAATAAAATGTGGTCGGGAACTCTGGCTAAATGCATTGCCGTGTAATTGGGTTTCTCCTCCAGAAATCTAGCTGTGTTGACTCGATTAGTCTTAATGCTCTTAATTGAAAAGGGAAACAGTGTTTTGCGACTGAGTAACTTTTACTGACACACACAAGTGGTTTCAGTGTGCTAAATGTCATGCAACATCTGCTCCCTTCTGCATCTGCTAACATTCATGAATAGTTGTCACTCTGAAAGAGCAGGAAAATCCCTCTGCTGGATAAAATAACTACAGTATGTACTGCAACAAAGCAGCTTTTCTTCCAATAAGCAGATTCAGTTAGTTCCTTTTTTCTGCTAAATTTCTCAAGGGTCAAAAAAATGTTAAATGTTCTGTTACCCTTCAAAAAAACGTATTTTAATTTAATAAATTTTGTTCAGAAAATTAGAAAAAGTCTCCTGTAGCACCCTGGCTTTCTGTCATTATTCTCTGTATCCTTGACCCTGACTGACACGGGCCTGATTACCAACTCCTGGCCGTCCTGGCTGGGGGAGGTTTCCCTCCCAGCATTGGCTGTCAGTAAATGTCAGGCAGCTGTCTGCGTGTATCCATCATTTGGACCAACCAGCATCTACAGGGACAAAGAGAGAGGGGAAAACACCACATTAACCCCTCAGCCAATCAGTCACACTCTAAAGACGGTAGCTCCAGGGGGTTTCATTTGATCTGTGGCTACTGTTTATAAAATGTCCATGCGTAGGTGTAGGTTTTAAAGATATTTTGGGGCATTTTTGCCTTTATATATAGGACAGCTTAAGTATGAAGGGGGAGAGAGAGAGAGAGGGGTACTGACATGCAGCCAAGGGCCACAGGCTGGAGTCGAACCCGGGCCACTGCGGCAACAACCTTGTGGCCTAAGCCACCGACACCCCTAGGTGTAGGTTTTTGAGGTTGGCAGTGGACACGCCCTTTCAATATTTATTAGTAGTGAATATGTCCCCCTCAGGACTTAATTTTGAAGAATTACTAGAACACGAGTCAGACACACCAAGAAAGAAGCGATGTTGAGACTCCGCTCTGACGGACAGTGCAGTTAGAGCTGGCGGCAGCTGAAGAGGAAGGACAGGAGTAAACACGGCAATAGCTGCTCTAATATGGCTGCAAATCTGCCGGAAAATAAGGTGGAATTCTACTCTGTATACTACGACAGAATATCAGGGCCACTGTTTAAAAAAAAATAAGAATTTAAGGCTTCAAGAATTAAGTTATATTACTACAAGAAAAGCCTCAGTGTTTATGAGAAAAAAAGTTGTAATATTCAAAGAATAGAGTCAGACACACCAAACTGATGTCGGAGAACTAGTGGCAACGAAAGCCCCTGCTTCATCGCCTCTCGTCGCTGTGTGTCAGCCATAAGTTGAACATTAACACACCAAACTAACGAGCAACAAACGCGTGTGTTTTGCGCCTGCGTGAAATGTACTCCTCCATACCAGCCGACAGTGGTCGTCTGTAATCCTTATTAAAAAAGGGAAACTGGAAAACCATCTTGACGCTGGTTAGCCAGTTAGCATATTAACATCACATTTTTATACCAAGTGTAATCATTAATTTGCACTGTCCCTTCTCAAATTAACTAAATACACAATCCAATTTTATAAAAACAGAACATAACACAAACCATCAGGAAGTGTTTCTGCTAAAGCGCTCAGTGACTAAAGAAAAATAATCTTAGCTATGGAACAAGTTTGTTTTGGTTTTGACTTTAGCTCTTTGTTTACATTTCTTACGTTGCATTACTTTCGTCTTTCTTCCCATGCTCGAGCTGAATTGCCAAATAGAGTGATTTGTCAGAGCTTCACTGTGCCGATGGGGAAAAAAGGCCAACTAGCACCGAGGAGGGCGGCAGACGCTCACCAACGGCCTAGTGCTAACTGACAGAGAGGGCCTAGAGTCACGTGTGCATGTTTTAGCATTTCCTGACAGTCCAGCCTGCTGCAGCCCGCAAGTAATTTGGCTTGTAAAAAGTTTGGACTGCAGCGTGGCGACTTCACTGAAAAGCTCAGGGAAGCAGCTGTGAGCTTCACATTATCAGAGGTGGTGAAGCAAACTTTATTTTGCTTTATTTTACTTTCCATCTCGGTTAAAGAGCAGCACACACCCGAGCAGTAACGTAATTAACAGCAGACTATGGAACAGGTAGTTGTTTTCTCAAAATGTCACGACTTTATTCTTGAAATCTCAGAGAACACAGATATGTAGGATGTCTGTTGAATGTGCAGAAAGTTTTGAACATTGGCAGAAATCTTGCTGAAACACGAATGAGCTTTTTAAGTCCATAAAAGTAGAATTTTGTGTTTTCCTTTACATGAATAAAGACATTTCCACAGTCAATAGGTGCATAAACTTCACTAGAATGCAGGAAATGAATTAATTGATGCTTAAAATTTCCCAGGGGGAGGAACCTTAGTCTCCCGTTTAATATGTGCCCCCCCTCCAATGTCAGCAGAAAAGCTTGTGTCCGTGTATCATTACCCAAGGTGGGATGGTAAATGTAAGATACATGAGATGACCAAAATATCCTTTAATATTGTCGTTGCCTATCACCAGATTTCATACTCTTGATATTGCTGACCTTGACTTAGCAGTGCTTCTTCTTTCACTCAGCCGCAGAGGAAAATTACAGGAAGCTTCATTCGGCCTTGAGCATAAAACCGCAGGGTCACAGTTTCTGTGTTAGCGACCTCTGCCACACATGACCATAGCATAAAAAATATGCACATGATTTCCAGATGAAACTGCCTCTGTGAAAGGGACTTTTGTTCGGAGGGAAGAATCACATGTCTGTTTCGGCTCAGGATGCTCCTCTGCAGCCTTTTCTTCCTTTCTTTGGCAGGATATGTGAGGGCGAAACAAAGCAGCGTCAGTCTGTCTGTTGTCAGTGATGGTTTGACTGTGACACATCTGCTCCAAAGACATTCAAACTTTAGGGCAGCTCAAAGAAAGGTGTGCACCTCCTGCAGACTAAACGGTCTACATGCAGCCTCAGGCTCTTTTTATTTTCTTTGATTTTATTTTAGCTTTTTAAGTGAGTGAGTTTGCAGTAAATAATTTCACAGAATCATGTAGTTTAACCTCCGGCTAAAGCATGTAATATTTGCACCTTGTAGTGCAGTATCGTAATTACTAAAGTCATTCAGCCCGACCTCTGATACTTATTATGGTTGTTGCTGGAAAAATAATCATCAGGAGTAACAGACCTGCAACAGTAAAACAGCTTTTTGCCTTTTTTTTACTGTAATGCCATCTTCATGTTTGCATTTATACAAACATTTTTACATTTTTCTTGTCTTTTTCTTCTCTAGTTTCACAAGCCAGACCTCCACCGAATCAGAAGAAAGGTACACTGCTTTCACTTAGTTAGATACTATATAAAGCAACACATTTATACAACCTAATTTTTTCCTTGTCATATAACTGTCTTTTTATTTGACTGTCTATCCGTCACTACCAGTTTTTAAGACATTTTTTCCATGACTTTCTTCACAGGGTCCCGGACACCCATCGTCATCATCCCCGCCGCCACCACCTCACTCATCACAATGCTCAATGCCAAGGATCTCCTGCAGGATCTAAAGTATGTGGACATACCTGTGAATAAGTTAGAACATTTAAGGGGAGAAAGGTATCACCATGAAACCATACATTTCCAGAAGAGAAATCAAAACTAAAATTAACATGTGAATGTGTATTTTGAAAGTTATCTTTCCAAAAGTCTGAGAGAAGACACAACGGTTTGCAGCCGAGTGCGAAGTGATTGGGATGAGAGTCAGCACCTCCAAATGTGAGGCCTTTGCAGGAAAACTGTGGATTGCCCCCTTTTAGCTGGGAGAGTTACTGCCTCATGCGAGGGATGTCAAGTATCTCGGGGTCTTCTTCTTCACGAATGAGGGTTAAATGGAGCGTGAGATGGATCTGCGGTTTGGTGCAGTTTCTGCAGTGACGTGGGCACTGCACCGGCCCGTCGTGGTGAAGAGGGAGCTGAGCTGGAAGGCGACACTTTCAATGTACTGGTCCATCTACGTCCCAGCCCTCACCTATCGTCATGAGCTCTGGGTAGTGACCGAAAGAATGAGATCGCAGATATAAGCGGCCAAAATAAGTTTCCTCTGTGGGGTGGCTGGGCTCAGCCTTAGAGATAGGGTAAGGAGCTCTGACATCCTCAGGGAGCTCGGAGTAGAGCCACTGCTCCTTCACATTGAAAGGGGTCAGTTGAGGTGGTTCGGGCATCTGATCAGGATGCCTCCTGGGCGCTTCCCGCTTGAGGTGTTTCATGCACGTCCCACTGGTAGGAGGCCCCGGGGCAGACCCAGAACATGCTGGAGGGATTACATATCTCATCTGACCTGGGAACACCTTGGGGTCCCCCAGAAGGAGCTGGAAAGTGTTGCTGGGGAGAGGGACAACTGGGGCACTGGCGCTGTAAGGGAATGTCATGACAGTAGTCTGTGACTGTGTATATGCCACCGCTTCCTCTTTCAAACTAAAAGTCTTTGTCTCAAACTACAAGCTCTCTAGCTGTTCATACTTGGTCCAGCCATATACTAGGTTTGACCTGGTCTTGTTTTCTGTGCCGCACCAGGTTTGTCACGTCAGAGGAGAAGAAGAAGCAGGGCATCCAGCGTGATAATGAGGTTCTGCTTCAGAGGCGCAAAGACCAGATCCAGCCCGGAGGCACAACGCTGAGTGTCACTGTGCCGTACCGTATCATCGATCAGCCGCTCAAACTGGCTCCACAAGACTGGTGAGCGTTTAACCTCTTAAGCACCATCCCTTTCTACCATAGATCCATTTTTGTCCTTTCTTGGGGGGTAACATTGTGATGGAAGTATACGATGGCCATTCCCATGCTCGATTCATACTGCAGGCTGTACTTTTCTGTTGTGCTTTGGACCGTGAGTGGGATGTCCTTTTGGGTGGTGTAGCCTATTCAGCAATGTTTTGAGACACACACACACACATACACACTCTAAATGGTTTTCTACCTTTGTGGACTTTTTCCGACACATTCAAACACAAAGACATACACGTATGTAATTAAATGCTGTACATGGATTGTACCAGCGAGGGATCTGGGGTTGGCATAACTTCAACTTGCTTCTTTTACTTGTCAATTTATTTATACAGCCCAGTGACACAAATTTGTCTCAGGTGGCTTTACAATCTGTGAAGCTTACAACATGCTTTGTCCTCATTACACGTATGAGCTTGTAATGTTTGAGGAAAAATACTTAATGTCTTTCTAGGAACGACAAGTCACAGTTGTACAGCTGGTTGTGTCCTTCAGTGACATCATGAAACAGCCACATATTAGTCCACTCTTCAGATGGCTCAGCTCTTGACACCAGCGTCTGTGGGACTGAGTCATTAGTGTTTGACAAATATGAGTCAGGATTATACATGCAGCCTGTGTTTCATGCACAAGCTTTGTTTTTCAAGGATATTTTAGAATCTGTGTTAGAATCTAATTAGTACAAAATAATAATGGCCTCTTTGTATTCTTATGTATTAGTTTTAAGGACCAGACACATCAAACCAACGTGGGAGAACTAGTGCCGATAAGAGCGTCATGGTGCGTCGCCTCTCGTCGCTGTGTCTCGGCCAAAAAGTTGTACATTAACACACCAAACTGACGGCCAGCAAGCATGTATGTTCTGCGCCTGTGTGAGAGGATATACCCCTTTATACCAGCAGAAGGCAGTCGTCTGTATTCGTCATTCAAAACGGGAAACTGGAAGACCATCTTGATGCTTGATGTTAGCCAGTTAGCATATTAACAACACAATCCAGTGTTGAAAGAACAGAATATATTTACTGTGCGCCAGCAAACAAGACAAACCATCATTAAATGTTTCTGTTAAAGAGCTCGGTGGCTAAATTTTATTTCTGTTGTAACAGAGAGAGCAAAGTACAGAGGAGGAGTACCCGTGGGTACAGGTAGTGAATTCCAGGTGCCAGTTTTGGTTCAAATAAGGATGGTACCGAACTCAAGTGAATGTGTCCTCCTGCAGGGACCGAGTGGTGGCTGTGTTCGTGCAGGGTCCTGCCTGGCAGTTCAAAGGCTGGCCGTGGCTGCTGCCTGATGGATCTCCTGTTGACATTTTCGCCAAAAGTGAGTGACACAGACCTTAAAGTTCTTTCAAAAATGTGCCCATACTTTAACAAGTCATCATAGAGTGGTTGGTCATGTAGACAGAATGACTCAGCGGACAATGGTCTGTCTATTGTTGGCATGCTGGTCAAAATGCAAATCTAAATATTTGAACTGATGTAAATTTAAAACCCTCAGGTCCTGATGGGCCATTTTATGGACTCTCCAGAGTTTCATTTGGTTGTCATTTTGGCTGTGATCATGCTATAAAATTCCTAGGTCACTTTTCCAGGGCACATCATGCTCATGGAAGATCTCCTGTCTACACCTTAAAATGCACTGTATACAACATTGGCACCTGTCCTCCTGATGGCCCCATTGAAACCCATTGTAAAATGCAAAAAACACACATTTTTACCTGGTGGTTATTTTTTCCAGAATGATAATTTCTCTATTTTCATGGCTTAATTCACAACAGGGAAAGTCAAAATATAGGTTTCTGAGCAATTTTTGAAAAATCATTACAGAATACCACTGTAGCACCTTTGCAAAAAGACAAGCAGTGACAGGCTGCTCCCCAAGAATGCTGCGTCGCTTCCCCGGTAAGATGTGCGAGGGAGACCGCTGCAAGATTTGATGCTTTTTTCAAAAATCTGATCCAAAATATCCAATTATACCGCTTCCCCTTGGTCAATTGAGGTCAAATAAGAAGTATAATGACCTTTGAAATCCCCTTTTAGCGATGTGTGACCGATGATGTCTTGGCTTTACACGGGAAGTCACGTGATCAAGCCATTTTGCTTACGTGTCACTTAAAATTTACTGCGCATGCCCATATAAAATGAAACAAATCCTCCAGCAAACTATAAGCAAACAAATCAGTGTGGGCACTGTTCAAAGGCAGACATATGACTGTTCTAATAGGAAATTATACTATTGTTTTCATTTCTGATTTATTGCAATTTTTCAACATTTTTTTTGTACATTTGTACTTTGAACAGAGATCTGACTGTAGCTACAGTCTGAGATCTCAAGACGTGAACTGGTCTCTTTACCCAACTTTAAAGCTCATAAGTAAAAGGATGAATGAGTCGGTTGGGTCTTGTCATTGTGCGTAGGTGTCCTAATATTTCTACGTTACTGTGTACCTTTTTTCATTGTGTGGTTGTTTGGCTGTAACTTTTTTGTGTGCTGCTGTCTTGGCCAGGTCTCCCTTGTAAAAGAGATTGTTGAATTCAACAGGACTTACTTGGTTAAATATGGGTTGAATAAATAAATAATTGAGGTGTCACTGCACTGACAGCAGCTTGTTCCAACCTAAACCTGGATTCATCTATATAAATGTGTGCATGCACATTTCCTCACCAGTTCGAGCCTTTCATTTGAAGTATGATGAGGCAAAGACAGACCCCAACGTGCAGAAGTGGGATGTTACCGTCCTGGAGCTGAGCCGCCACAGGCGCCACCTGGACCGGCCCGTCTTCCTGCGCTTTTGGGAAACCCTCGACAGGTGCATCCTAATTCTTGCATATGTTTATGTTGACTAGGGATGCACGATATATATTGGGCCGATAAATTATCAGCCAATAATGGACAGTTTTATAATCATGCAATATTCTGATAATTAAAATAATAGCAGATAATAAGTGGCGATAATATGAAGCCAGACTGCTTTAATGACTTAACATGTCATTAATGACTTAGCATGTGCACACCCGACACAGTGGGTGGCAGTACATGTGCCTTCAAATTTGGCTTATGAGCCGCCAATAAACACAGAGAAGAAGAACTGCAGTATGGTGTCAGGAGGGCAAAACATGTCGCAGTGTGGACGTCTTTCACAGATCCAGAAGAAGACTCTTAGGAAGGAAGGTACCATAAAATATTGTATGCATTGAAAGCCCTTTGAAGCCTTTAATCACAATCTTCCAACAACCATGTCAGATTTTAAATGCTGCTGAAGTATGAGACTTTGCACCATGCGGTATGAATGTGAACATGACAGCAACTCATTCAAAAGTTAACCACTAAAATAACATCTAAAATAAATAAATTGCCTCTGAAATGTGGGGCACATTGAACCTTGCATATTATACGACAGAAATGATAGCAATTCACTTTAAAGTTAATAAAACAACATCTAAATTATATTAAATTTCAGCTGAAATGAGGCATTTTGCTCCGTGCAGTATGAATGTAAACCTGCACATTATCTGACAACATTTACTTAACAAATAATATCACATCTCTGTGGTGTTTGCAATTTGGGCTATATCCTAGGTTAATGTGGCCATTGTCAGTTTATGAAATTCCAATATCTGTTGTGGAGAGAATGGAAAGGTCGGTTAGCTCCTACATTAGGAAGTGGTTGGGCGCTCCTAGGTGCCTAAGTAGTGTTGCATTGTATGGAAAAGGGATACTTCAGCTGCCAGTATCTAGTTTAACAGAGGAATTTAAATGTACCAAGGTCAGGACAGAGCTCTTGTTATCTGGGAGTAAGGACGTGGTAGTTAGGAGTGTGGTTCCAAATCCAACCAAGGGGAGGAAGTGGAACCCAAGATCGGCAGTTCAGGAGGCAGAGGCAGCTCTTAGACATGCAGAGATTGTAGGTAATGTTCAGTTTGGCCGGGGAGGCCTGGGGCTTGGCTCAGGTAAACCGGTATGGAATACAGCAGGCCTCAAAGATAAAAGAAAGCTGGTTGTAGAACAGATACGCAGACAGGAAGAGATAGTAAGGGGTGCAAAGGTAGTGGCACAGGCTAAACAGGGACAGTGGTTGAATTGGGAAAGTGTAGAGAAGAGGAAGCTTAGTTGGAGGGACCTGTGGAGTATGGAGGAGAATCGTATTAGATTCCTGGTAGGGGCTACATACGATGTGTTACCAACCCCCCAGAACCTAAAACTGTGGGTAAATGAGGACCCATCATGCCCATTGTGTTCACGTACCGCAACTTTAAAGCATATTTTGTCAGGCTGTAAAGTTGGCTTGTCACAAGGCCGATATACATGGCGACATAATCAGGTGTTGAAATGTTTAGCTGCAGGCATCGAAGGGAAACGAAGACAGGTGAATTCAGAAGGTGTTAAGGATAGGAGCTTAGTAATTCAGTTTGTCCGTGAGGGAGAGAAATACAGAAGGGATAAGTTAGTGAGGAGGCAAGGGTGTGGCCGCCTAGAAGGTGCTTGTGATTGGGAAATGCAAGTAGATTTAGGGGGAAAGCTTGTTGTTCCTCAGGAAATAGTCTGTACCAGGCAGAGGCCTGACTTAGTGTTGTGGTCAGTGAGTCAACAGATAGTTTATTTCATTGAGCTGACAGTTCCTTGGGAAGACTCAGTGGAAGAAGCCTATGAAAGAAAAAAGCTTAGATATGCAGACTTAGGAGCAGAAGCTGAGCAGCGAGGATGGAAGACTAGGATTTGTCCAGTGGAAGTGGGGTGTAGGGGATTCATAGCAAGATCAAATGTCTCAATCCTGGGGGAACTCGGAGTGCGGGGACAGAATTTGAGGAAGACAGTGAGGGAAATGTCAGATGAAGCAATTAAATGCAGCCAGTTTATCTATTACAGAAGAAATAATGTCAGCTGGGGGCCAGCAGGGGGAACTACTAAGCAGGGCACATAACTCCTTGAGATCAGGTGGCGAGATCCACTTCCTGTCAGGAGAAATCCAGGAAGAGGAAGCATTTAAGTGTGGGAGTGGCCTATTGTAATCCATTTTGTTTGAGGCCATGCGGCAAGGTGAGTGTGCTTGCTGATCCTGTAAGTCCAGTTAGCTCCTTTAACTTTAGCTTATATTGTAGTTATGCTATGTAGTGTGTGAAATAGAGTATGGTGAATGTGACAGGAAAGCTAGTATCAGCATTGCTTCTGCCTGGAGCTCGCATGTATGGAGCCTGGGTTTGGTTGAAGATGGCAGTGCTGTTTGGGCTGAGAAAGCCATGTGTAAGTAAGAAGGAAATCCAGGAAGAGGAAGGTTATTTAAGTGTGGGAGTGGCCTATTTGAATCCATTTTGTTTGAGACCATGCTGCAAAGTGAGTGTGTTTGCTGATCCTGTGAGTTCATTTATCTCCTTTAACTTTAGCTTACATTGTAGTTATGCTATGTAGCGTGTGAAATAGAGTATGGTGAATGTGCTAGTAAAGGTAGTATCAGCATTGCTTCTGCCTGGAGCTCGCATAAACGGAGCCTGGGCTTGGTTGAAGTTGGCAGTGCTGTTTGGGCTGAGATCACTGTCCAGCCTCCTGGAGGTGTCATTGTTGTGAGGGCTCGTCCTGGGGAGGTAGACTGTACAGCCTAACCCGGCGGGGGAGTGTGATAGCCTAACAAGGCTTCCTTCCCTGGGTCTACCTCCTCTGTGGTAGTATAGGTAAGGTAAAGGAGGTTGTTCGGTTAGTGTGGGGAGCAGTGAGACCTGGCATTAGGGGAGTGTCTCTGGGACGCCAGAGATCACTGTCTAGCCTCCTGGAGGTGTCGTGGGACTAACTAGACGAAACACCGGTGAAAGGAGGTTCCCACCCGATGACCCCAAAGACATGTTAGTTATCACTGCTCATGGGTCTGTATAGTTAAGCCTTGCCATAATAGCTTATCGTAGGGCTTAGGAGGATTATTCACTGAGTGCTGATCCCTTTTTTTTTTTTTTTTTTAATTAGAGCACAAACTTCTTGTGTTTATTTGAATACACATCTCAAAAAAGATAACTTGCTGCTGAATTCATTTTCTAGATCAAAGTACTGCCACACCGCACTGGTTTTGTGAGAGGACATCTCTCCAATTTCCCACCGTGCTGTTTTAAACCTCCAGCCTACTTGTGCATTACCTCGGGGAGGGGGACAGCTGTCTGACAGCTCTGTAGCATCCACTAGTGGCGGGCGGCTCCATGACAGTTAAGCAGCCTTGTACATGAATAAAACAGTAATTGGTTCAACCGACTAATATTTCTGGTGTGGACTTGCAAGAGGGCTGACGGTTAATTGTTTAGACGACTTATACCCCGGAAAGTCTCCCTCTGTGACAGCCTAATGTCGGCAGCTATGAAGAGTCAGAACTGTTCTTTGTTTTTGTTGTGTTAGCGACAGTTTGATTTGGTCAGGTCAGAGCTATGGAATATTAAATCAGCAATATTTTATCACTACATCTCAGCCTTGTGAAATTATTGGTTATTGTTGCAGTTATCAGCCATGAGAAGCAGGTGATTGTCAGTTATCAGTACAGGCTGAAAAAATCCATATCGGTGCATCCCTAATGTTAACCCAGCTATTGTTTGTTTCCTGTGCTTCTGTTACTTATTATTCAGCTGTTTAATAGAATTATGTTTAATTCTTGACGATGATGACATTGCACTGACTCACCTGTCTTCTCTTTCTCGTTTATCAGATACATGGTGAAACACAAATCTCACCTCAGGTTCTGAGCCCAGATCACAGCGTCCATCTCCGAAAATCCTACAAATGAATTCTTCGGCCCTCCAACTCTCCTCGGCCCTCCTCTCTCAGAGGTAGCCCCTCTCATCCGAGCTGCCATCTTCCAACTTGATCCCCCATTTTAACGCGTTATCCAGTGAACTTCCTCTGACACTTCCTCCTGATGCAATGCGCTGGATATGTTACTCTGGACACTGGAGAGGAGATTTGGGGGATTTTTTTTTGTGTGTGTTTTTGTTGTAATTGTTTTCTAATGTTTTCATGTAGTTCAACAAAAATACCAAAATATGTTTTGTATAAAAACAAACAAAAAAAAGGCAACATACTGTGGAAACAGTTTAAACGAGATATTAAGTAACAGGACGAGGTCAGAGGTTTTCATTTTTGTCAGTGGTTAAGAGGGAAATATTGTGAACTCAGAACTGTTTAGATTGAGAGAAACGTGAAAATGACTCTCGGTACAAACAAAACGGCCACTGAGTTTGGGGAAAGAGACTTCCTTTACACTTTTACTTTTCTTTTGGGTGTTTGTGGTCTGAATGTACATACAGTATATGATAAAACCTATCAGATCCAAAGCTCTTTGAGCAGAGAGGAGGATGCAGGTAAGTGATATGTTAATACTACTCTACTCTGCTCTGCAACAGCCAGATGATCTCAGCCAAGCAGTCAGGTCCCTAGCTCAGTTTCTGATGGATCAGCACATCTCTCAGTCATGCAATGACCCTGTTTAAGTTTTCTGTTCCTTTGTTGGTGTTGTGCTAGAGGAGAGAAATGATGGAAAGTATTGCTTTAAGTCGTCACATGAAAATAGACAATAAAGCCTCAGAGAAATGAATATCTGTGTTTTGCCTATTGTAGATGATTAGTGTTCACTTTATTAATCATATTTCAATGTAGTTTCATATGGGTTTCATTTGATTGTAAAAGAATGAATACATTTAAAGACGACCGACAAAGAGGAGTCTCCTCTTTAGGAAACAGGAAACGAGGCTGGATTACCAACGGGGCAAGGTCAGTAGCTTTTTATTAATTTCATTACTTACACATTTGCTTTGGAATTAGCACCACTAAAGTACCGTAACACTTCAATAGACCTATGGCTAAGCCACGCCCCCCTCCACTCACTTGGACAAACTATCACCATTCAGTGACCCGGCGCTATGGCAGGTGTCACAGTACAAGGCATTTCGCAGGAGGCAATTGATGATTTTTGGAGACATAACGATCAGATGTCATTGAGAAGTAACCAAAAGGGCCTAAACTACACATTGGAGGGATATATTAATCATTTTATTGTTGAGAAGGTCAATGAAAAGCTTAAATTACAAACCAAATTTCAAGTCACAGTGTACGCTTGTGAACCGCATCTCATTGCCACAGTTAAAGTGCCACTGAAGTGAAGGTTTTTGGCTCAGAATATGAGAAAAGGATAACGGCCTTTTTACCATCTTTACCAAGAGTGTCTCTCCGTTAGTTTGGTGCTACAGTATTTACACTGAATCATTCAGCATAACGTTTGCCAACCTTTGTTATCTCTGCCATTACAGATAAGTTAATGAAGCTAAGCTCCAGAAGTTAACGTTAGCTTAACTAGAGCTAACAATGATGTACAATCACCAAAGTACAAAACTAGAACAAAATAGGCTAATGAACTCCCAGCAAACAAGGTGACATGATGAACAACGCAGCTAGGAGCTAACGTTAGGCTAACTTTAGCTAACGTTAGCTAGAGATGTGAAAGATAACTTTATATTTCTTTGCAGCAAAGTGAAAATATGTTGTCTCAACACGATGTTGACTTACCTTAAAACAGATGTAGACATCATTGTTAATCTTATTCATGTTGAGTTAATGTTGTGGTCTAACGTTACCACACAACTTTAACCAAAGGAGACACTTTTCTTGGTTGAAATGTGGTTTAAAGTGTAAAAATTACACCTCATCGCCCAGCCTCTCAGGATACCTTGTGTCAGAGTTGCATGTACCCCATGCACACCGTTTGACCATTTCTAAACTTCAAATTTCCGAAAAAGCTCATAAAACCGAACAAAACTGACTTTCTGTAATGCATTTCGATGAACGTCCAGGCAGAGAATGAATGGCTATATGCACTGTGATTGGCTCATCGCGTTTGAAGGCGGGACTTAGCCATAGGTCAGTTAAAAGCCTTGTCTAAATTAAAGGCCCAGTCCCTTTTACTAGCCCAGTGTGGTTACACATTTGGACAAATAAAGGCCTGTCTCAATTAGAGGTCTGGTCTGATCCCCAAGTAGTTCATCGTCTTCATAGAAGTTTTTCGGACGTTGAAAACCAGGTTGTTGGCTACCTCAAACTATGTGTCCATTCCTTGATTACCCTGTAAGTCATTCATATTACTTTAGTGCGTAAGGGTCCTCGGATGGAAAGAATCAGAAGGGTTTTTCATAAAAATGAATCCAAATTGTGAGTATTATTTTAACAGGATAAAATGGTGGTGTGTCCGAATGCCAGGTGTCAAAATCCTCAAGTGCTGTAACTCTCTGATGCGCTGTCGGAGCGAGATCAAATAAATGATTCATATTCGATATGTTATCTGAAGCCTAATTTTTATACAATATTCATACTAGTTTAAATAAACAATTTGATTATATTTCCCATCTTTGCTGAGAAACAGTTTTGTGTAAAAGGAATTAAAGACCTGTCCCAAATATAGGCCTGTGATTTCAGTGATTTAAGCAAATAATAGCCTGGGCTACTAATTGCAGCTAATTGCAACTAATTTGTAACAGTGAGGCGCTAGAGTGCGCCATCTGTTTGAATGCAATATATGATTTCAACGTTAGATGGGAGAAATTCCTACACACTGTGGCTTTAAGTTTGAGAGTACCCACAGCCAATCAGTAAACAGAGTCTTGTAACTCCTTTGACATGTTGACCTATGTTACAAAGGATTTGTCGTGGCTGCTCCTTGGCTGGATATGGTTCACTTCAGGTCTGCGGTGTGGTTCACTTTTTCGGCACTGCTGCATTCGTCTCATGTACAGAGCAACATGCTGGATAACTCACTGCCTCGCCTGCTGCTCATACTGGGCCGCTTCTTGTGAAAAAATAACTAGGTTTGAACACCAAAGTAAAAACAGAAATCCCAAGACTGCATAAATTTGGTGTTGCTCCATTATTTTTGTGGTGACCAAGCTGGCTGAAGGGGATGGATTTCCGTTTTCGGTCCTGGCCAATCGATGAGTAGGGTTTTCTTCTTTCTCATGCTTTGTTTCTTCCTGGTCAGTGGTCGTTTCAGGCAATACCGCCCCCAAACGAGCAGCTGCTGTAACTGTGTGACGTCCAGGTGGTTTGGTCCGCTTTAAAAAGTGCAGAGTGAAAGTGAACTGAACCAAATGAAGGTGTGAAATTTTTTGGCATTCCCTGCCCAATCAAACTGAGTCCCCCGGACTATCCTGGTGTGAATACACAGTAAAACTATGCTTTGTGAACACAAAGCGCTCCAGGTTCGCTTTGCTCTTTGCCATTGTATTTAGCCCTCTAGATCACATGCTATTGTACTGGGACGCTTGAAAAACAGACAAAACCGCGTTGACCTGCAACGCTTGTAAGGACGTAGGACAAGGAGTAGTTTGGTCCACAGAAGATGCCGCACGTCTCCAGATTATAGGTTTTCCTCCAATTTTAAGTTCATCTGAAAGCGAGGGGCTTCAAAACCACACTGCAGTGCCAAGTCAAGGTAAAAACAACACTGTGTCAATATATATATTATACAGGCTATAGTGTGAATTGAAGGAGGACTGAGTCGTCTTTCAAATGAACTGACAATGTGAATACTAAACTATCAGAGTCCCTCTTCTGTTGGTCCACTTTTTGGTGCTCTTTCAGCGGACTGAGTTCGGTTTGTTTAAAAAGGACTATATGTGAAAACAACCCAACACTTGGATGTTAAACTCGAGGCTGTTTAGAGTTTCACAGATCACAGATTGCAGCTTGATTCACATCGATGCTTTGACAGGAAGCCTTTGTTGTGGGATTCATCAGCTGCTCTCTTGGAAGGAAGATGCGTCGTTCCCATGGCCCTCTGCTTCTCAGGCTCCACACAGAGGCGTGCAGATTCACAGCAACCGCTCCGGAGGGAGAGCACCAACTGCCTCCCCCACCACCCCCGCCGGCCTTCCCTCCATCTGCTGCTTCGCACTGCCATGCAGGCAGGCAGGCACGTCAGCCGGTGGTTCCAGACTCGCATCGTGTGGCTAGAGGTATCAACACACTTCTGAAAGACCGTGTGATCATCTTTACATCCCTGTGCTTCTGTGTGTGTGTGTTTTGGGGGAGTGATGAGAGTGTATGACACACTCGTGGTAATAAATACTCATCTGATGAACTACACTTTACCAGGGCCCACAGCCAGCGCTCCTTCTGCTGCTCAAAGATTAGCGGAGGGAAAAAAAGCGTTAAAAGCCTAAAAAAAAAAAAAAAAAAAACTTTTCCGTTAACTTCGACTGGCAGCTTTTTGTTGTAAGGTCAGGATGAACTTTTGATATATTAACTTTAGCTTTAATGGAGCATACGCTTTGCATCATGCATTCCTTCCACTATCTTTAACAGAAAATGCAGGCTGGCTGCAAGGCGTCTGTAGCAAATATCCTCAGTATCCTGGCTCCAAATGAAGTGTTGAAAGCTCAGTAATTATTCTGCAGCTGTATTGGCAGATGAAGTCTGTAGGAGATGTTTCCTAAATGAAGAGTAATGAGCGCTTTATCCGCACAGCTCGTCCACACAGTGGGTGTTTAAGGAGCTGCTTTCAAGGCTGAAACATGCAGAAAAGTCAAATATGAAGAATCTGGAGGCAATTTGCACAAATTAGAAGGCATTAAATAAAATGGAAGATTTATCTCATGATATCATGATTCATGTTTTCTCGAGCTCTACCAGAGAAATTAATTTTATATCAACAGGAGCTTTTTTCCACTCACTGGCACAGAAGTGTCTTCATTATATCCTCCTTCAGCTCACTGGTTTTCACTTCACTGCATTGGAATTGGATGCTTCGAATAAGGTGTTCAGAGAGAATCTAGGTCGAGGGAAGGTGTAGCGTGGCGAGACGAATGGCAAGCGAGGGATAACAGACAAGTGAGGTTCCTCATCAATCAGCAACGACAGGACGAGATTGGTAAAGCAGATAATGGAAAGAAAAGTCGATACGGACCTCTCAGGAGACTGAGGGCCCTCGCACACAGACGAGGACAAATTACATCCAGACCCTCTTTTACAACATCCTACCCTTCGATCCTGCGTCACTTGCTAAAGTCGCCCTCAGCAGAGATACAGTACTCTTTGTGGGTCAGTAATTGGTTTCTGATGGTTTTCGATGATGATGTCCAGCGAGGCCTTCTGGCCTTGGAGCTCAAATTGAAGCATGTTGAGCAATCCTGTCAGTGCCACAGGAAATGTTGGGTTGTAGTACTGAATATGTACAATAACGAGAGTAACTCAGCTGATAAACATGCTTAAACTGACAGCTGAAACAGAGGACGTGATCAGAAATGACTTGACTCATTGAGCTTTCAAAGGTCAAGTACAGAGGCCTGTAATGCAACATCACTGTGGATAGAGCCCCTACAGCACCATTTCCACTAAACCCTTTCAGTATGGTACCTTTGGAACCAAAAGTAACCCTTCAAATATGGTACCAGACTCTCGTTTATAGCCCACAGAACAAGGGTGCACGGCAACATTCTCAGAACAAAATGAAACAGGCTGCAGTGAGAGTCTCTCTCCATGGGATATTCAAAAATAGTGGGTTTGTGCATTTAGTCCTTCTCAGGCAGGCGCTAAGGTTTAGTGTTGCTG